GTTTATTTCCAAGAGTAAAGTACCCTTTAAAATTATGTTCTAGCAAAACTGAGAGTTGTTCCAAGTTGTTCTATGCCAGTATGTAATTGTTCTATAGTTTGAGACAATATCGCGACTTTAGCGGGCAAAAAAGATGAAAAAACAAGAAAAATGTGTTTATTTCCAAGAGTAAAGTACTCTTTAAAATTATGTTCTAGCAAAACTGAGAGTTGTTCCAAGTTGTTCTATGCCAGTACGTAATTGTTCTATAGTTTGGGACCGCTATCGCGACTTTAGCGGGCAAAAAGATGAAAAACAAAAAAATGTGTTTATTTCCAAGAGTAAAGTACCCTTTAAAATAATGTTCTAGCAAAACTGAGAGTTGTTCCAAGTTGTTCTATGCCAGTACGTAATTGTTCTATAGTTTGGGATCGCTGTCACGTCGTTATCGGTCGAAAAACACAAAAAAACACGAAAAATGTGTTTATTTCCAAGAGTAAAGTACTCTTTAAAATATGTTCTAGCAAAATTGAGTTGTTCCAAGTTGTTCTATGCCAGTACGTAATTGTTCTATAGTTTGGGACCGCTATCGCGACTTTAGCGGGCAAAAAAGATGAAAAAACAAGAAAAATGTGTTTATTTCCAAGAGTAAAGTACTCTTTAAAATTATGTTCTAGCAAAATTGAGAGTTGTTCCAAGTTGTTCTATGCCAGTACGTAATTGTTCTATAGTTTGGGACCGCTATCGCGACTTTAGCGGGCAAAAAAGATGAAAAAACAAAAAAAAATGTGTTTATTTCCAAGAGTAAAGTACCCTTTAAAATGATGTTCTAGCAAAACTGAGAGTTGTTCCAAGTTGTTCTATGCCAGTACGTAATTGTTCTATAGTTTGGGACCGCTGTCGCGACGTTATCGGTCGAAAAACGCGAAAAAACAAGAAAAATGTGTTTATTTCCAAGAGTAAAGTACCCTTTAAAATGATGTTCTAGCAAAACTGAGAGTTGTTCCAAGTTGTTCTATGCCAGTACGTAATTGTTCTATAGTTTGGGACCGCTATCGCGACTTTAGCGGGCAAAAAAGATGAAAAAACAAGAAAAATGTGTTTATTTCCAAGAGTAAAGTACTCTTTAAAATTATGTTCTAGCAAAATTGAGAGTTGTTCCAAGTTGTTCTATGCCAGTACGTAATTGTTCTATAGTTTGGGACCGCTATCGCGACTTTAGCGGACAAAAAAGATGAAAAAACAAGAAAAATGTGTTTATTTCCAAGAGTAAAGTACTCTTTAAAATTATGTTCTAGCAAAATTGAGAGTTGTTCCAAGTTGTTCTATGCCAGTACGTAATTGTTCTATAGTTTGGGACCGCTATCGCGACTTTAGCGGGCAAAAAAGATGAAAAAACAAAAAAAATGTGTTTATTTCCAAGAGTAAAGTACCCTTTAAAATGATGTTCTAGCAAAACTGAGAGTTGTTCCAAGTTGTTCTATGCCAGTACGTAATTGTTCTATAGTTTGGGACCGCTGTCGCGACGTTATCGGTCGAAAAACGCGAAAAAACAAGAAAAATGTGTTTATTTCCAAGAGTAAAGTACCCTTTAAAATGATGTTCTAGCAAAACTGAGAGTTGTTCCAAGTTGTTCTATGCCAGTACGTAATTGTTCTATAGTTTGGGACCGCTGTCGCGACGTTATCGGTCGAAAAACACGAAAAAACAAGAAAAATGTGTTTATTTCCAAGAGTAAAGTACCCTTTAAAATAATGTTCTAGCAAAACTGAGAGTTGTTCCAAGTTGTTCTATGCCAGTACGTAATTGTTCTATAGTTTGGGACCGCTATCGCGACTTTAGCGGGCAAAAAAGATGAAAAAACAAAAAAAATGTGTTTATTTCCAAGAGTAAAGTACCCTTTAAAATGATGTTCTAGCAAAACTGAGAGTTGTTCCAAGTTGTTCTATGCCAGTACGTAATTGTTCTATAGTTTGGGACCGCTGTCGCGACGTTATCGGTCGAAAAACACGAAAAAACAAGAAAAATGTGTTTATTTCCAAGAGTAAAGTACTCTTTAAAATTATGTTCTAGCAAAACTGAGAGTTGTTCCAAGTTGTTCTATGCCAGTACGTAATTGTTCTATAGTTTGGGACCGCTATCGCGACTTTAGCGGGCAAAAAAGATGAAAAAACAAAAAAAATGTGTTTATTTCCAAGAGTAAAGTACCCTTTAAAATAATGTTCTAGCAAAACTGAGAGTTGTTCCAAGTTGTTCTATGCCAGTACGTAATTGTTCTATAGTTTGGGACCGCTGTCGCGACGTTATCGGTCGAAAAACACGAAAAAACAAGAAAAATGTGTTTATTTCCAAGAGTAAAGTACCCTTTAAAATGATGTTCTAGCAAAACTGAGAGTTGTTCCAAGTTGTTCTATGCCAGTACGTAATTGTTCTATAGTTTGGGACCGCTGTCGCGACGTTATCGGTCGAAAAACATGAAAAACAAAAAAAATGTGTTTATTTCCAAGAGTAAAGTACCCTTTAAAATAATGTTCTAGCAAAACTGAGAGTTGTTCCAAGTTGTTCTATGCCAGTACGTAATTGTTCTATAGTTTGGGACCGCTATCGCGACTTTAGCGGGCAAAAAAGATGAAAAAACAAAAAAAATGTGTTTATTTCCAAGAGTAAAGTACCCTTTAAAATGATGTTCTAGCAAAACTGAGAGTTGTTCCAAGTTGTTCTATGCCAGTATGTAATTGTTCTATAGTTTGGGACCGCTGTCGCGATGTTATCGGTCGAAAAACACGAAAAAAAACAAGAAAAATGTGTTTATTTCCAAGAGTAAAGTACTCTTTAAAATTATGTTCTAGCAAAATTGAGAGTTGTTCCAGGTTGTTCTGTTCGTTTTTAGCTAAAATATACAGTTTGGTGTTTAAGAGATAATAACTATAGCCGAAAACGTAAAAAAACTGTTTTAGCGCACGAAACTATTTTTTTATTATATCTCGTGAAATATTTTGTTTAGGGAATTATCACTTTGGAACAATGTTTAGAACAACTAGAACAATCTGGAACAACCTTTAAAAGTTCGATTTTCGAAAAATGGGGGGCCAGGTCAAAAAATCGTTTTTTTCCATTTTTCGCGAAAATTTTTATTTTTTAAATTTGATCTTTTGGAACAATTTAGAACAAGTCTAGAACAACCTGGAACAACCTTTAAAATTTTAAAATTCGAAAAATGGGGGGCTAACTTCATACAGGCCATCTTATGTTCTTCTCAAAACCATACAATTTTTGTCTAAACGCTTTTCTCTAAAATGCTTATTAGTTTTTGAAAAAAGAGGTGTACAAGTGGTCTGGGACACCCTGTATATATATCGTTGGACTCAACGTACCTATAAGGAAATCTTTGGGTATTTTTCAACTCGACGAAGCATTGCGAGAATTTAAAACTTTCTTATTTTCGTGATTATAATAGAAATAGATACTTGTGTTCCGAAATCCCATTCTTCTGTCTACGTAACTGCAAAGTAAATTATTCAGTATTGATAACAAACGAGGTTCTATATGAAGTCTGTCGTGTTATGGACAGACACGCTTCATGATAAATATTGCTATCTACATGACAATGAGAACACGATAAAAGTATGTTTATCAACATACGTATGCAAACATGAAGAATTTAACTCTACTTTGCTATCTGAAAACACGATGAAACATTGATAAAACGAAATTCTCAAGTTTAAAAAGTAATTTTACGCAGGATATTTCTATAAGTAATTAATCCGTAATTATAAGCTATTTTTTATTCATTAATATTATTAAAATTTTGTTGTGTGCATTCTCTCTTTTATTGTAAAATGTACAGAAAAAATATATACATACATATATATATATATGTATGTGTGTGTATGTGCAGTTTATTAATAATTTTTTATTTTGCTTATGAATGATTAATTAGTCAAATGTTGCGAAATCGTTTGTTTTTATTATATTCTAATGATCTTGCATGAATATCATTTATACACAATTGTTTCTTTAACTACTCTACAATTCCAATTATAACCTTTTACACCAGCATAATCTCGATCGACTTGTTCAATTTTTCACAAATAAACGCGAAAAATTCTCTTCTATGATACTTTAACTATTCAAGTCTGAAATGTCATATATTTTATTATTAATTACATATTGTATATAAATATATTTATTGAATTCGAATAAATATTTATTTTAATACTGCCAAATAAATCATTTATTTGAAACTAATAATATTGATTAGATGTGAAAAATATTTATTTGATATAAAAAAAATCTTTCTCAAAACAGATAAATATTTATTTGTTTCAAATAAATGATTTACTAGACAGTATTGAAATAAATATTAATTTAATAATTTTTTTCTATATATTTTTATACGTATATATATACATATAACTGAAAAAAATTATTAAATTAATATTTATCTCAATACTATCTTATATTAAATCATTTATTTGAAACAAATAAATATTTATCTGTTTTGGAAAAGATTTTTTTATATCAAATAAATATTTTTCACATCTAATCAATATTATTGAATTATTTATTTGGCAGTTTCAAATAAATGATTTATTTGGCAGTATTAAAATAAATATTTATTCGAATTCAATAAATTTTTTTTAATATGTATAGTTATATGTATCATTTTAATAAGTTATGTGTATATATATATATATATATATATATATACACATAACTTATTAAAAATATTTATTTATACGTAATAGTTTATATACATATTTAGTTTATTTTATACATATGAATATCTGAGCGAAAATCGCTCGCCTTTCTGAACACTGATTTTATGTGTAATTTCCGTCATATCTTAGCAAGATATTTCAATCAATGAAGACAATTTTCCTCTATAAATAAAGGAGCAAATTCCAGCAGTTTTAATCTAACTTAAGCGAAGCGAATTCTCCGCGGTTGGTTGGTAAACGTGTTGACGGTAGAGTATAGCGGACATATATATAGTACAGTGTACAGTATCACAAAAACTGGTGGGGGAACAGTGTAACAAGTGATTCATATATATGTATATATATATATATGCATTTGCACACAGAGCTCTTTATTTTACCGATTGTTCTCATAATATCCTGTTCGTAGCTGCATTAGACTCGCGGATATCTGGCCGAAATGACGATTCTAAGGCTGCCGATTTTCGCGCGAACATTTCTGAATCGGTGCGTCGGGGAATACGCGATCGTCGGTGCGTGGCATCCGAAGATTTTCCCGATAAAATCGGTGGAACGTCGACACTACGCGACCGCGATCGAATTAAAAGTGGACTCGCAGAATGTCATCAGCAGCGGAGTGCCTGATGTGACAGGTTTCGAAAGTGTTCACTTGCATAACTTGATTTGGGAGAAGGTCGACAGATGGTCGAATCGTACTGCTCTGGTATGTAGGGTTAATAAGAAGGTTACGACATCTCCCATGTTAGTTACCCACGATGCTATGTTAGGTTATGTTATTGTCAATAGAATAAATAAGACAAGAAATAGAAAATATTACACAGTAGAAAAATTTGTTTTCCTGATAAAAAAGGTCCCTGTTAAAATCTGTGTGTTAAATATTTAACACATTCATGTGTTAATTTAACATATTGCTGTTCTGTTAATTGAACTTAAATGCGTTAAATAAAATGAATTAAATAACATATGTTACATACAATAAATTAAATAAAGTATTATACAGAAGGAAAAATTGTTTTCTTGATAAAAAAAAGTCCGCGTTAAAATTTTTGTGTTAAATATTTAACACATTCATGTGTTAATTTAACATATTGCTGTTCTGTTAATTGAACTTAAATGTGTTAAATAAAATAAATTAAATAACATATGTTATATACAATAAATTAAATAAAGTATTATACAGTTGGAAAATTTGTTTTCTTGATAAAAAAGGTCCCTGTTAAAATTTTTGTGTTAAATATTAACACATTCATGTGTTAATTTAACATATTGATGTTCTGTTAATTAAACTTAAATGCTAAATAAAATAAATAAAATATGTTACATACAATAAATTAAATAAAGTATTATACAGTAGGAAAATTTGTTTTCTTGATAAAAAAGGTCCCCGTTAAAATTTTTGTGTTAAATATTTAACACATTCATGTGTTAATTTAACATATTGCTGTTCTGTTAATTAAACTTAAATGCTAAATAAAATAAATAAAATATGTTACACATACAATAAATTAAATAAAGTATTATAAAGTAGGAAAATTTATTTTCTTGATAAAAAAGGTCCCTGTTAAAATTTTTGTGCTAAATATTTAACACATTTATGTGTTAATTTAACATATTGCTGTTCTGTTAATTAAATTTAAATTTAATGTTAAATTATTAAAAGAACTGAACAAAATGTAGAAATAACACAATGTGCATCTATTTTTAATTTTATACAATAAATATGTTCTGCTTTATTAGTGACAAGATTTTTCTGTTAAAATTTACAGAAAAAATGTTGATTTGTTATTTTATAATATAATATATGATAAAATCTAAAATTAACATCTTTTTTGTTAACTTTTACATTAAAATTATGTTAATTTTACACAAAATTTATTTGAAATTATTTGAAGTTTTGCATTTATTTTATCTTAAATATTAACAGTATTTGTGTCTCCATTTAACATATCCATATATATTATGGTAAATTAACACAAAAATTTCTGTGGACGTTTGGATATGTGAAATTTTTCAACTGTGTAGAGTAAATATAGGACATATAAACAAATTCATAAAATTAATTAATAAAATAATGTTTTTCCAATTTCAATTATTTATTCTTTTTTACAAAGCAAGTAACATCAGTAATCACCATGCATTTTAAATCACGCAATGCATTATGGGTAGCTGTGGGAAATACTTACTGAGAAAAATTACTCAATTAATACATAATTAGTTCAATACTGCCAAATCTTATATCAAATAAATATTTTTCATATCAAATAAATATTATTAGCAGATTAATGTATGAATGACCAAACTGACTAACAATAAAAATGACAAAACGTTGTTGTCAAAGTAAATTTTGTCATATTTAGTCAGTTTGGTCATTCATACATTAATCTGGTTTTATTTTGACTGATAATTAACCGTCTTATCTTATAAATATTATTAGTTTCAAATAAATGATTTATTTGGCAGTATTAAAATAAATACTTATAAAAAAATAAAAAACAATTAGAAAATAAATAATAAAAATAAATTAGAAAAAAAAAATTAGAAAATAAAAAATAAATTAGAAAATAAAAAAATTAGAAAATAATAATACAATTTTTTACAAAAAAAAACTCCCGACTGCTGCCAACTAAGTTTTAATGTTTAAATTAAAAAATAATGTTTAAATTAGAAAATAAATAAAAAAAAATAATAAAAAAATTAGAAAATAAAAATAAAAAATAAAAAACAATTAGAAATAAATAAAAAATAAAAAACAAAACAAAAATTAAAAATAATAAAAGAACAAAAAAATTATAAGTATAAAAAATAAGCTTGTAAAAGTTGGAAATAATCACACATAAATAAAGTCTGTTGTTTATTATATAATTTTTCTTATTTAAATTTATTGTTATCATACATATTTAGCGCTATATAATTTACAAAAATTTCAGATTTTTGAATTCAAAAAATTTTTTAATTATAATTATTATTATTAATTCTACAATTTACAAGAGCAGTCGGGAGACGCCGCGCGTCTAAAAACTGTAACGTCCGTTGAGTATCGATATTTGTGTTTGTGTCTATTTATTACATAAAACGTGCGCGTGCGTATATGTCTCAAATTTAGCGCGGCGTCTCCCGACTGCTCTTGTAAATTGTAGAATTAATAATAATAATTATAATTAAAAAAATTTTTGAATTCAAAAATCTGAAATTTTTGTAAATTATATAGCGCTAAATATGTATGATAACAATAAATTTAAATAAGAAAAATTATATAATAAACAACAGACTTTATTTATGTGTGATTATTTCCAACTTTTACAAGCTTATTTTTTATACTTATAATTTTTTTGTTCTTTTATTATTTTTAATTTTTGTTTTGTTTTTTATTTTTTATTTATTTCTAATTGTTTTATTTTTTATTTTTATTTCTAATTTTTTTTATTTTTTTTATTTATTTTCTAATTTAAACATTATTTTTTAATTTAAACATTAAAACTTAGTTGGCAGCAGTCGGGAGTTTTTTTTTTGTAAAAAATTGTATTATTATTTTCTAATTTTTTTATTTTCTAATTTATTTTTTATTTTCTAATTTATTTTTATTATTTATTTTCTAATTGTTTTTTATTTTTATTTTTTTTTTTAATTGTTTTTTATTTTTTATTTTTTATTTTCTAATTTTTTTATTATTTTTTTTTTTTATTTATTTTCTAATTTATTGCTGTTCTTATGCTGTTTCTTCATTCTTTTGTCTCTCTGCTTCTTCATCCTACACATGTAAAAGTTTTTATTATGTAATATATATATTACAATGTATATAATATAATAATAATAATAATAAAGACACACATACACTCACCATGTGACTGCAATGTTCTATATTCTTTCCAAATATTTTTCTGCTACAATTTTTTTAATTAATATAATATAATATAAATAGAGAGATAAATAAAAAAAAATAGCTAGATAGATAGATTGATAGATAGAGAGAGACAGATGACAAAGACAGATGACAACAATATCTTATATCAAATACGTAAACTTGTACGCAGTTATAATTATGGCTTTGACAAATATATTAACTTTCTTATGGCTATATAAGTTTATACATTATGTAATCACAAGTAAGTTTATATATTTGTATAGCCTTAATTATTATTACATATGTGAATAATCTTTTGTAGTAGATAATTGGCTATGTAAGTTAATATATTTGTCTGCATTGCCATAATTATTGGTGCGCTAATATCTTTGTATAACTATAAATATATTTGTATACATATTTTTAATTAATTATATAATTATTATATAATATACAAATAAGAGAAAAAATAACTATATACATTTATACAATTATATATGTGGATATTTATAGCAATGTGGCTACGTAGCAAATTTAATAGCAAATAAGTGGCTACGCAGACAAATATAAATTCATATAGCCATGTTATGACTACAACAGATTAATTATATTATTAATTATATTATATATTTTTATTAATTATTAATAACAAGATTTACTTGTTTTCTATTATTAATAATGTTTTCTTCTTCAGATATCTTCAAGCGAGTATCTTCTTCCTACATATAAATAAAGAAACAATAAATAAATAATAATAACAATATTCTAAATAAAGAAAAAAACAATAAATATAAAAGAAGAAACTTACTCCTTTATTTATATCTTCTTGAGATATATCCATAATAATACACTTCACTTAATATTGTTGTTGACAATAACACGCAACAGGTGACAGCTAACCTTTCCTATCAGTCCCGTCATTATTACTTCGAGATGTATATACCAATGTCACCAACATTCCCTATCCGGATACTACAACGAATCTCATTGGTGAATCATTTTTCCTCTTAGGTTCACACAGCAGCCAATGAGAGACCGTATTGACGAAATAATACTCATTTTTCACTTTTTATTAATAGAATAAATAACGATAATAATACGCTTTAAACCTTCCTTGATTAATAAGAAACTTATGTTCCAAAGTTGATATAAAACTATGCAGTAGTTATCGAGAATTAAGGTCACGACCGATCCGGGCTCGATGAAACGCATACTTCCTCTCTTTTCGCCAACCTACGGTTGGCAGCAGTCGGGAGAAAAATCAACTAAATTTTTTTTAATGTATAGGCTATAATAGAATGTTTTAACATTCTTATATGTATATAACATTACTGCATGTGATTCAGTATAACGATATAAAATTGTAAAAAGATTTACGAAAAAAAAACGATGTTATATATAATTGCACTTTTCTTACAAATTGTAGAGGTTTAAAATAAAATATACTTCTCATGTAAAAAAATAATAAAAAAATCTCTTTTTATCTCTTCTGTCAAATGGATATTTAATGTTAAAAATTTCAGAGAAAATTTATCGACTATTGAAACATTGATTACAAGAAAAAAACTGATATCTCTCTGTAATTTATATTCGCTTATTATTTTCATATAAGTGTGCAATATCGAAGAATTAATAACTGAATCTATTAAGTTTAAAGATTTTATATATTTGTAAATTGTGATATAATTTTCATTATTTAAATCAGTACACTGAAAAAAAATTATTAAATTAATAAATATTTATAAATTTAACGTATAAGACGGGCAACAAGAGCCAAATCGCGGATGACAATGCGTTATCCTAACGAAACTAAATAATTTTTCGTTAGAATTAAATACCGGTGCACAAGGCACCAAATTTTTACTTGGACACGGCCAAGATTTTAAAGAAAATCTGCTGGAAGAGCAGTCGCCCGGCAAGCGAAAGGTCTCGGGTTCGATTCCCGATTCAGCGATTTTCGGATCTATATTTTTCTCTTGCATTCATTTATTTATTTTCCGTAGGGGGGTTAAAGGGGTATTGAAATTAAATCTCAAAATATGAGATTATTTCATATTTAAAATCTTGGCCGTGTCCAAGTTAAAATTTGGTGCCTTGTGCACCGGTATTTAATTCTAACGAAAAATTATTTAGTTTCGTTAGGATAACGCATTGTCATCCGCGATTTGGCTCTTGTTGCCCGTCTTATACGTTAAATTTATATTTATATTACAGAGCCTTGTTAAAACTCTTATATTTAATAAATATTTATATTTTTTATATCGAATCAATATTATTAGTGTCAAATAAATAATAAATATTTACTCGAATTCAATAAATTGTTTTCAGTGAGTTATATAAGTTATATAATGCATCTGATAAAATGTATACTTTCAGATTTGCTCAGACACTGGTAGGTCATATACGTACAGTCAATTGAAAAAAGCATGCGGCAGACTAGCAACGAGTTTGAGAAAGAGCAAACTTCTACCGGGAGATACGATCGCCATTATTTTGCCAAATATTCCAGAATTCGCCGTCATATTACTGGCGGCAAACGAGGCCGGTTTACGTGTAAGATTAAATTTTATTACATTTAAAAATATTCCCACACGCGCGCATTATGCAGAAATCGTCTATAGTAAAGAAGAAATTGTTATCTCATTGCCGTCATTGAAATGGAGAAAAAAAGCGACGACTTATCTAAAAATGCGATATTATATCGTATTTGCAGAACCAACTCCTGCAATAATTTTCTTTTTATTAATTGCATAGTTTTTTCTCGAGAAAATTATTTTAAATATAAAAAATATATCCATTTCATCGTGCATAACATATATATTTTCGTAAAAAATTATTCAGAATTTATTTATGATACTGCACATTTTACTCGTGCAATAGAGCACGTGCATGCATACATATACTTAACATACAATGATACTAATATATTCTTTCAACATTAATAATGTATCGGATATTAATGTATAATTAAATAGCCATTTTCCATTTGGCAAACTTATTTTCTCGACAAGTCTATACAATTGTTTCAACATTTTCAATATCTCTCTTATTTACTTTTTTTCCGCGTGCAATTATTTTCTGGCTGAATGTATTATCATTTATTATTCATCGAGTAATTTGTATACTTTTCGTAATGTGAATGCAAAAAGTTGATTGGAATTTAAAAAAAATAAAAAAACGCGTAATGTAGTAGCATGACAAAACACTTAAATGTATTTAAAATAAGAAACATAGTAAAAAAATTGCGCGATAAATGCTATCGCCTGGGAAAACATTTTTTATATATAACAATATAACATTATATATGAAATATATATATATATATATATATATATATAATAAATATTTCTCCATATATTATATATAAATATATATGTTTCATGTACAATATAATTTGACATGTGATTATATATAAACCCTTATAATTTATATATACATTTATATAATTCTGTATAAAAATGGACATATTTCACATGTACTTTTACGATTATATGTCCAATTATACAATTATTTATATATATTTATATAAAAAAATTTTCCCGAGCGTGTAATAAAATAAAAACTAATATTAATTTATCGCAATTTAACAAGATATTTATTAAATTAGAAAAAAAATAATTTAGGAAAATTTTCATTAAAACTTTTAAAATATTCATCGCGTTAAGAATTGAAGAATAAATGGAGAATTGAATTTTTTCTTTTTTTTTGTTTAAGACAACGCTAATTAATCCCGCATACACAAAATACGAGATAAAGAGGCAAGTGGAGAATGCGGATGTTCAGGCGATCTTCACAATTCCGGCCAAATACGCAGATGTGGACGCGAGTATAGAGAACAATTCGAAGATAAAATTACCTGTTGTTATCGTAAACGATGGCACTGATCCTACCTCGATCGCAGGAACCATCAAATTCGCCGATCTCGTGCGGGATGACATCGAGGAATTTTCAGTCAGTCAGAAAACCGATGTCAATTACGATGATACGGTACTCATGTTTTATTCCAGCGGCACGACTGGTTTGCCGAAAAGTATCGAGTCGACCCATAGGTGCGCAAATTTTAAATAAAATTTATTAAAATTAAATTTATTAAATTTAAATTTATTAAAATTAAATTTATTAAATTTATTAAATTTATTAAATTTATTAAATTTATTAAAATTGAATTTATTAAAAAGACGCATAAATGGTGCACAATCACCATTGAAAAATGTATATCTGCTGTACTTTATTATCTCGATGAATATACGAATGCAATAATGTCGCAGGAATATTGCGGCAAATATTTTTCAAGCCACGTGTCCGCAACTTTTCGCCGGAGTGGAAACTACTGAACATTATCAGGATATTGTACCGATGATATTACCATTGTATCACGTTTACGGATTAGTAATCGTTATGTACTCATTTTTGCGGTATGTGTTAATCATATATAGAAATTAATTTATATTATATTTAATTTGTACAATTTTTTTATGTAAATGCATTTATATTATGTATTTCTATAATTCATTATTTTTGCAAATTAACGCCCAAATATATAAATAATCGAACTTTGTTCATTGTTAGATGTAATTGTTTGGTTTTAATTGTTCGATTTTTTTTTGGAAGTGTCAAGAATTATTCTTTCTTACGATAACACTTGGAAAAACAAAATTTACTAAAATGTCAAAATTTGTCAAAAATGTCGAAATTTTTTACTAAAAATGGTCCCCGTTAAAATTTTTGTGTTAAATATTTAACACATTCATGTGTTAATTTAACATATTGCTGTTGTGTTAATTGAACTTAAATTATTAAAACAACTGAAAAAAGATGTAAAATTAACACAATGTGTATCTATTTTTAATTTTACATATAATAATAAATATGTTCTGTTTTATTAATGACAAGATTTATCTGTTAAAATTTACAACAAAAAATGTTGATTTTTTATTTTATAATATAAGTGGGGATGATAAAATCTAAAATCAACATAGTTTTAGTTAACTTTTACATTAAAATTATTAATTTTACATAAAATTTATTTTAAATTACTTGAAGTTTTGTATTTATTTTGTGTTAAAATATTAACACAAAATAAATACATGTGTTAATATTTTAAAATATTAACACAACATATTTTAAAATATTAACACAGCCGTATTGTGTTACATTAGCACAAAAATTTTTGTAGACGTTTGGAACATGTGATATCTGATAAATTTAACACCAATTAATATTTTAAAATATTAACACATCATTTATCATTTAAAATATTAACACATCTGTATTGTGTTAAATTAGCACAAAAATTTCTGTAGACGTTTGGGACATGTGATATCTGTTTTTAACACCAATTTTTCAATTATGTATAACAATTTGTAGGATAGGCGCTAAGCTGGTGTGTATGCCACAATTTTCCCTGACCAAACTTATCAAACTGTTGGAAGATTATCGATGCACAGTGATGCACGCGGTGCCACCGATCGTGCAGATGATTGCATACGACGAACGAATAATGTCACGTCACTTCGAGTTTATGAGGCTAATAGTCTCAGGAGCCGCGCCTCTTGGGGAAGAATCTATCGCCAAGTTTCAAAATCGCGTCAGTAATTGCGTGACTTTCGTCCAAGGGTAAGAGATCGCAATAAAAAAAAATCGTTATCTACATTGCAACAAATAAAATAATGAAATAATTTTTGTGTGCAGGTACGGCGCGTCAGAATTATCACCGCTCGCTTCAACAAGTTTGGATGCACCATCGGCATCCTGCGGTTACCTGGTGCCAAACACGCAGATGAGGATTGTAGGCATACAGCAGGATAATCTCGGCAAAAATTTAAGTCCGCGCCAAGTCGGGGAGATATACATACGTGGTCCGCAAGTGATGAAGGGATATTACAAAAATCCTCAGGCTACAGCGGATACTATGGACGGAGACTGGTACAAGACTGGCGATCTAGGATATTACTGCGAACACGGTAAGATTTAATCTTGAAGAAACTTTTAAAACTTTAAAGAAACTTGAAAAAAAATTTTTATAATAGAAAAACCTTTTTATTTTTTTCTTCGCGTTTTTTATTTAAAGATCGCGCTGTGATATTTAAGGCTCCTATAGACTTCTATACTTAAAAAAATTAATGTACTCTTACATGGAAATTACTTGTTTAGAACTGGAAAAATTACTTGACTGTCACTGTAATTTTTTTTCCATATTTTTTGAAGTGAGAATACATATTAATAATGTAAAAATACATATAAAGTATAGGTAAAATTACTATTTTTATGCAAAAATCATGTGTAATTTTAAATTTACTATTTTTACTTTATTAGAATTTTATTTTATAAGCATTTATCCATTTTATTTATAACATTTTATAGCATTTATATATTACTAGAATTTCCTACAGGAAATATATATGTGTAATTCCATATTCAGTAGAATATTTTTAATCTTGAAAATATAATAAGAATATATTTCATATGAAATTACATGTAATCTGCAATCTTCCATATATAAGTAGCAATATTATGCATGATTATGCTAAGTCGGAAAAACCTTGCATAATCATGTAACTTTACACAAATATTTTTTGTGTAAAGTTGTGAAGTCAGAGATCAGAAAACACACGCTAAAAATTCTTAGATGCCATTTCGAAATAAAAAGATGTTCCGATAAAACAACACTTCAGATGGCTTTAGCACACTCGGAACCTATCCCTTTCCCTTTATAATCAATAAACAGCTGTAAAATGACTGTAATAAAAAGCCCAGTCCATCTGGTCTTTTGGCATGCACAGTCATTTCGCATGACAGTCTGATACCACCATCATTTTACGGTTGTTGATTGATTGTCAAAGAAAAATAACAATTTTCGAGGTATTTTAAAAGTGTTTCATCGAAATATCTTTTCATTTAAAAATTGCATCTGAAAATTTTCAGCTTTTGTGCTTTCTCGCCTCTGACGTCACAATCTAAAACACCGCCACGACGAGGATCCAGGAGCTTTAAGACACAGTGATCAAAATAATTAATTCCCATATGTTCGCAGGTTTGTACGTGCAAGCACGATTAAAGGAGATGATCAAGGTGAAAGGATTTCAAGTCGCACCCACCGAACTTGAAGAGGTAATTCGCGGTAACAGCAAGATACAAGACGTCGCTGTAATTGGCGTCGCACACGATCAGTACGGTGAGATTCCGAAAGCCTTCGTGGTTCCCAAGTCTGGGGTGAAAATTGACGAAAACGAAATCAAAGTATATGTAGCTGAACGTGTAGCCAAATTCAAGCACTTGGGATACGTACAAGTTGTGGAAAGTATACCGAAAAGTGGGGCTGGAAAGATTCTTCGAAAAGAGCTCAAAAAATTGTAATGCAAATATCAAAGTATAATTATCTGTCTTCAACTATCTAACTAATAGCAAGAAATTTATCGACAAACTTATTGATAAACTTCGTCTATTTACATTAACATGAATTAACACCAACAGAAAAATGTTTATATGTTATAACAAAAAGTGGCCATCGATAAAAGATTCAGTTATTTTTATTTACACGTTAATTGAATTAAACTTATTCTTTAGATTTGTTCACCTCGCCTTGAGAGGATTCTTCCAAAAGAGTGCTTGTAATTCCAGCTTTCTTCAATTCCTCAATAAGTTCACCATTTTTGTGCATTTCTAATAGGATATCACAGCCGCCCACAAAGTCACCATTTATAAATACCTGAGGTATCGTGGGCCAATTGGAAAAGTCTTTTATACCTAAATAATCAATATTAATATATGTATTTAAAATAACTACATTAAGAAGAATACTAAGACTACTAGTATTAAAAGAGTGTTCATTCATGTAAATATTTGTAAATATTCATAAAAATTATACATATTTTTGCTATACAAATTATATTTAAATATATTTTTTTATAACATGGAATGTATTTTTATAGTAAGAAAAAATTATGTATTATATGTATAGTGTTATGCTTATATAATTTAAAAATTATTTAGATAAAGATGAGGTAGAAAATATGTATCTTGGATAATATAAAATTATATAACAATTCATCTAGATAACTTCCAGCTAATGCTATTTTAATCGCTTATGTAAATTTCATTTATGATAATCTATATAATTTTATTTATAGAAGAGCAAACACTAATTACACATTTTTCTCTCAAAATATTATTGTACAAATGTAATAGCTCGATACAAATTTGATATAATAATAATAAATATTTCTAACAATTTACCTTGCCTGAGCGCTTCATCTTTAAGAACATCGTGTGCCTCATAAGTAACACCATGCATTCGCAATATTTGTACCACAGCATTGCTAAAACCACATCTTGGTTCTTCTGGTACGCCTTTCATAAAGACGACTACTTTATTTTTCTGCAAGAAATAATCTGCATACAATAATAAATATTACACATAGTTAATATTACGTTTTATTAACAAAAATGGAGTTTCTTTTGACAAACTTATTAAAAAAAAAAAATGCTTTGCTATACTTATAAACTATAATAAACAAATTTTTATATAAAAATATAAGTTAACTTGCACTCTAAATTGCATTTAATTATTTCTGCATCAAATATACATTTTAAGTCAAAAATATCTTACACAATAATGAATAAAAAAGAAACACAAAAACGTGTTGCAATCACACTTACTTTAACAAGATTGCTGATGTCATCGAGCTTCGTGCTAAAATTTCGGACGATGAAAGAACATCTTGCTCCAAAGCGAAACATGTTTAATTTGTATCACTAAAAACACTTGATCAAGTAACGTGAAATTTTCGTTTGGCCAGCCTAAAGAGATTATGCGCACATCGTTCAGTCAGCTGTCTCGTATTTACACGCGAGTTATTAAACCGATGACTTGCGCCATCGTGTAACAAAACAGCAAAGTTCGTAGCCAAAAGTTCCCGCAAATTAGAAAAGATTAATTTATCACGTAAATTCGAAAATTTTAATTCTTATGAAACTTTTATTTATACACATATATGAAGAAGAAATATGTATATGAATTCAGAACTTTGCAGTTGCTGCCAAAAAACGATTCTAAAGACACTCAAAATATAAAATATGTTTCATACAAAAAAATATTTCTACTTATAATCACATTAATAAAATTTTAATCGATTGAATCAAATCGATTAAATTGATCGAATAAAAAATCTGTGTTGTACTCGTAGATTCTAGAGAAAAATAGAGATTTCTTCCACAAGTTTTAATTTAATTTCAGCAATGTTTCACTAATTTTTCACACATTTTCTTATTCTTTTCTTATTAATTCGATTAATACTCATAGTAATCATTTAATTACTAATAATATTTATTAGATTACGTTTTTTCTTACTGAATTTCTCTTATTGATTTTTGAAAAATAAATTTGAAAAATCAATAAGAAAAAAAACATGATTTTAAATATCAATGATTAAATGATTATTGAATACTAATTAAATCAAAATTCTTGCATAAAATAATTAATTTTAATAATTTAATATTCATTTTTTATAATAATTGCCGATATTTATATAATATAGATCATGTTTTTTTTATTGAATGTTTCTTTTGATTTAAAAAATCAATTTGAAAAATCAATAGGAAAAATTCAATAAGAAAAAAGAAATGACCTAAAAATCAAAATATCAGTAATTAAAATAATTTCATATATACATAAAAAGGGGCTCAATATCGGCATTTCTTAAGTAGTCAGTTTCTTCATAAGTTTGTCAGAACAATATCATTCGATTTTATCGAAGCAAAGAATTTTATAATATTGATACTTCGTCGAAATGCGCCGGAATTATGCACGAGTCGCGGTCGAAGTTGGAAACTGCATGTCAGTGACATCTGTCAAACGCTATACGGAGTAACGAAACTCGCAGTAACTTCGCAGGGTAACTTCACATGATAACTTCGCGGGATAACTCGCGGGAGAAACATAATTACCGACTGTACTTTGCAACCTATTCTTCGCCATTTCCTTAAAACTTTGCTTCTTTCTCCCAAACTTCGCCATTTTGTTCGCCATTACTTGATGTACTTCACCTACCACCGAAATATGAAGCTAGATGTTTCCCGTATTGCAAAATCGATAGCATGATTAAATAATCATCGGAAGCGCATGAAACAAATAAACAATTGCTAACACGAATATAATTAAACCAATGCACTCACTGGTGATGAAATCCTGAAGGCAGGGGGGAGAAAGGGGGCAGCTTTCTTCTTTCTTCCAGTAATCCAATAATGACCTTGAGCACTAGAAACACTCACAATGCTATTTTCTTCATTCACACACACAGTAGTCTTCATTCCACTTTTAGCCGACCGGAAAAGCACAAATAATCTATTAATACGGCACTCCCGCACTCGCGACCGGCAAATGCATCCGATGCATTTGGTATACGAGCACGAATCGGTCGTACTATCGTCGTTTAGGCCTTAATTTTCACGTTCGATTATTCCCTTTCGATATGTACCCCAAATAATACCGTCTGATGCAAGCAGGCTCGCGAAACACTTCCGAAACACTCCCGAAACCCGGAGCACTGACACGACCGGAGACCCAACACGACCTGTTTCGGCGCGCAATTGAGATATTTTGCGTTTGAACATCTCATGATTACGAACTCGCGCTGTGATTGGCCGAGCGTCACGCCGTAATACATAAGCCCGCGTTCAGCTGTGATTGGTCGACTGTTTCGCGCCTAAATTTTAAACAAGTCTAAATTAATCAAACTTCACTTCTACAATGTGTTTGATATTTGATCGATAAATATATCAATTATTAATAATACCACGCTAATTTTTATAAAATTTTAGATATAATTTGTGATTTTGATATGTTTTTAGATTTATTATTTCAAGATTTTTATAATTTCGATGTTTATAATATTATTAAAATTTATTTACATTTCTAATATTAATTTTATTATAAATTAATAAAATTAATAGATTTATTATTTCAAAATTTCTATAATTTCGAAGTTTGTAATATTATTAAAATTTATTTACATCTCTAAATAAATTATAGTACGATCTGTGCAGATTTTTTATATGAAGAAATTGTAAAATATTTAAATGACATTTTTATTTATGACAGATCGCTGTCATGCAATTGCTTAACTGTAAAATGTAAGGTGTTTCCAAACTTGTGGAGAGAGTATTGTATATATATATATTAGGTATATATTATATATAATTTTTATATTTTTCAAATGCAATATACAAATATAAATTCAGGTGCTCTTATTAGTTTTTACTAGTTCTTTACAGCCGAATTTGTATTTTTATATCAGAATCTTTTCGATTTTAAATAATTTTAACGCGGTCGAAACGTTTGTACTGTATTATCTTATATAGAATAAATATTTAGTTTATATCATCTAATAATGCTCGATTAGTTGGTCTTTTTATATACTAAATTTTGTTTTAATCAATAAACGAGCGAATACACGTTTTTGAATATTTTTAATTTTAAAATTATTTTTATTCCTAATATTTATGTATTTCTAATATTTTCTCTATTGTACACAAGGCTTTACTTCTAATGCTTTTTCTGAGATTTGTTGACTGTTCGAAATTATAGAAATCTTTTGAAATAATAATAAATAATAAATTTAAGAACACATGAAAATCACAAATTATATATAAAATTTTATCGAAATTGATTGAGTAATGTCATTATAATCATTTGATACATTTATCCATAAAATATAAAAAAAACATTATAAAATTGAAATTCAATCAATTTAAGCTTGTTCATTATTTAGGCGCGCCAATCGTCCAATGACAGCTGAGCGCTGCTCACGATCGGCCAATCACAGTCGAGGACAATTTACGATTACGACATATCGGTCTGCCAATCACAGCTCGAGTTTCTAATCTTGAGATATTCAAACGTGAAAGAAGTCAATTTCGCGCCCAAACGTGTCGTATTCAGGTTCGCGATCGTGTCGTGGTCCGAGATTAAGTGAACTTGGGGAATATTTCGCGATCCTGCTTGGCTCAGATGGTATTGTTTGCGGTACAGCTCGAGCAGGAACAGTCGAACATGAGAAGGAAGGCCCAGGAAGGCAGGCTGACCGATTCCTGCCAAGTGCATAGGATGCATTTGGCGGACGCAGTAAGTACAGGATTTTCGTATTGAGCGATTTCTGCGTTTCTTCTTCGATCAGCTGATAGTGGAGTAAATCCACAAGTCTCTCTGAATTGAGAACATTAGTGTATTGTGAAGGTTGCTATGCTGCTTCATCGGTTCTAGGTCATTGTCGAGTTCTTGGAAGAAGTGACGTCATCCTTTTCTCTCCCTGCGTCTGAATATAAGTGAAGGTAAATATTAAAAAAAAGTATACAGACAATGATTCGTTTAATTACATTCGCGTTATATCAATTGTTTAATTATGTGTAATTATAAAGTTGAAAAAATTTTTTTTTATTTTAAGAATTTTTTTATCACTTATTTGTAAAAAATATATTTAATATATATTTTTTATATATTTAATATGTTTTATTTGCTCAAATGTGAAAAAAATTTATTATTATCTTCTTTCAGATCATTTTTATTACTTGTCTATGTGATCTATTTATATATTTATTATCATAAACCATGTGTTTATTATTTATACTGTCACTGATGTTTTGTAAGCCAAGATTATATGACTTATTAGTTCATCTCCTACATAAATTTATATTTACATATGTCAGAGCTTTTAAGTGACACAATAGCCTGAGTCACATAGAGTTCATACATAAATATTATTACATAAATATTATATCATAAATATTATATCATATATAAATATTATTACATGTTTTTCCTTTACAGATGTGTGCTTCTATGTTTGATTGTTTGAGTGAATTTAGTTTATATTTGGTGCCAGTAAAATTAAGACAAAAGATGAAGTGCTCCTTACGTCAAATTATCTCCAAAACTCTGAATCTGTTTAATGACGCCTAAACGACTACAAAAAGGCAACGAACCTATCTTCCTCGACCAAATTTGAACACGAGAGGCGACGTTATGATTTCCCTAAACAATATCTATGATCAAGAATACAATATCGAATGTGCTCGCGCATTGCCAGGACCCAGTAGGTATTGAGATGGAAATTTGTGTCAAATGCGTACATTATTTTATTTTTTATTAGTGTTAACTATTATATAACTGTTACTGACATATTGCCAGTAAATACATTTCTGTATACATATAGAATTTTTTTTCTGGATATCTTAAAACATGATTTTAGTTATATTATTTGGTACTTTTAAATATTTTCACATATATGAATAAATATAAATAAGTATATAAATAAGTATGAGTATGGAACCATATTGATATATATTAGAGTATTTCATAAGGCAATGATGTATTTGTAAAAAAATTATATTTGAGATTGAAAAAGATATTAATTATATCACAATCTTTGAGATTAGTAGAAAATCTTTTGAAATAATATGAATTTAAGAATATATGAGAATTATAAATTATATGCAAAATTTTAAATTGATGTGATATTCTTAATAATTTTATATATTTATCTATAAAATATAAGTACATTACAAAAATGTAGGCTTGATTAATTGTCGATATGGAAATTTAAAATATAATTCTACATAAATTATATTATTTGTAACTAATCCAAAAAAAAATTCAGTCTAAAATATTTTAAACAATACATTACAATTATTTTTTCAGGAATGATATGACTTCTAATATCTCAACATTATATACATTGGCAATCACAACACATTATAATATGAATCATTCTAAACGTGGTAGAGCTTTAATCTTTTTTGATGAACAAAGCTCTGTTGCAGATTATTTTAGTAAGTACAATTTGAATGAAAATGTGGATTGCGTAATGCTTGATAATACACTAAGACATCTCGGATTTAATGTATGCTGCTATAATTCTAATGATAATAATATAATAAAAATACTAAAAGAAGGTGAGTCGTACTTGATTTCCATCTTTATTTACATTATTTATTTTTTAAAAAATTCTTATATCTTCTAAGAAATATTAAAATAAAAAACATTTTATTATATCTCATAAAGTATATTTCATAGGAACACCTTATGATAAATATGCTTTATAAAATAATGATAAATTATTGTTTCTGCAGTTGCAAACGAGGATCATTCTGGAAATGATTGTTTGATGATAGTTATATTATACTACGGCACATGCGAATATGTCTGTTCGCGCGAAATTTGTGAAATAGAACGTTTCTGTAATCACTTTACTGCCGGTAAATGTCCAACTCTATTCGGAAAACCTAAACTATTTTTTATTCAAATTTGCCAATTTGGTGAACATGTCGAGAGAGTTCATCTCGTAGAAGATAATCCAAACGGATTATCAGACTCATTTCGTATTGAAGCTGACTTTTTGTTTGTCTTCACATTTATAATAGGTATTGTAGATACTATTATTTATAGAACATTAGATTGCTACAAAATATTATTTACATCTTTTCATCATTTTATCATACAGTTTATATGTCTAATTTGAAACCTTTAATATAACTGCGTTGATTATTTATCAGTCTTAGATACCTCGTGATTTGTGATCAATTTTCAAACAGATTGTCCTTATTGGCTCGTTAACCGCCACACACTTTTTATGGAAAACTTGTGCGCTCAATTAACCACAAATGATACAAATTGCAGTTTGTTAACTTTGTTGACATTGGTATGCCAGTTAATTACAAAAATCGTTAAGTTGGGCTTCGTAAAGAATTGTTGTTTGAATAAGAAAGAAAGGTTTCCATGCATAAATTTCTATGCTTACATGCTTGGTACAATTTACTCCAAAAAAATTTCAATAATAATTGGTCATTTGTATGTGAGTATGCTTGTTTTTGCGTGTATATGTATATGTGTACATACATACATTAAAATGCATGCATATATATTTTTAGCACACTGACACACATATTACCGGTCGATATGAGTTTACTCTTTACTCTAATCAAGAAATTCATATATATTCCTACTTATGGTGATAATTCGAACCGAGAATGTCGAATTAAAAAAAAACATTAATAAAATTTACTGTAATGCAGCATAATCTTTTTACGAAAATGAAGTATTGATATGTGAATTTGTCATAAGCGAAATATTGCAAACATTACGAAAAAACATTTATATCATTTTCCTTTGTCGAAAGAAATCTTTAATAATAAAGTAAAGAGAAATTTTTAATAATATAATATACATATAATAATATACAATAAATTCCTTTATTTAGCATATGATACGTTTGAACCGAGAGTATATCTATTCCAAAAATGAAAGCTTTACTAACATTTATTGTAATGCAACTTAAGCTTTTAACAAAAATGGTAGAGGTATATGTGCATATATGTAAATTTGTATAAAATATGAGCAAAACATTGCAAACATTGAAGAAAACATTTTTGTCATTTTCTTTCTCGAAATTGTATATAATATATATGTATATATCAATAATGTATATATACATTATATATAAATATATATGTACAATATGTGCAATTATAATACAAAAATATTCTTTATGTTTTAAGAATTTCGTTATCATTTTTGTAAAAGAGATAAATTTTATGTATTCAAATTTATTATTAAAAAAAACATTTTATCCAAATCTTTTATTCAAAATTTATAAATTTTAATTTGAATTTTAATTGTGACAAAGATTGAATTTTGTATTTCAGCAATTTATATTACTAGAGTAAATAATTGTACAATACATTTGTTTTGTGAATACATGTACAATTTCTTTTAAAATATTCTTTATTTAATTGGAACGTCAACGATTCTTTATTTAGTTCATCTTATGTACGATCTTGTTATATATTTTAATTTCCGCTGCTATTTTGTATGTTTCCAAGATCATGACTCATTAGTCCGTTACCTATTTGTATTTACATATCAGAGCCTTTTCGTTTTATTCTTGTACAAGTTTTAACGTGAAGGCTATAATAGAGACTTAAGAGTCATATAAAGTTTATCAACAGATATTATCGCAAGTTTTTCTTCTACTGACAAGCTTCTATATCTGATTGTTTGAGTGAATATTCAAGTGCCACTCGATTGCAATAAAATTAAGAAAGAAGTGGCTTCTACTCTGCTTGCGTAATTGACTTGAAATCTGTTTGACAACGCATCATCTAAGTAACGACTACGAAAAACGCAACGCAAAACTATTCTTTCCCTGTGATCAACTCGAGAACGACAGACATGACTATTGAGTTCAAAAACAACAAAAAAAGAAACGACTTTACCGATATTATTAATGACGATTATTTCGATGATATCGATAAAACTAACAGGTATCGAACATTTGTGTCAAACGCGATACATTATATATTTTTTACTGTAGTGTAAATTATTCTAATAAACGTTAGCATGTTGATTGTAAATACGGTCCTATAAACATATTTATGTAGATTTTTTTTTTACAATTTTACAATTCTTTTAGATAATATCAACATTTTAATTTAACATGAAATATTGAATATAACGAGATAAAATAATTAGGCTAACAAGAATGCATTTAATTAATTCTGCATATGTTTGCAAGTATTATGAAGTATAATTGTAATTATATTATTCAGAATATAATATGGAATCAATATATTAGAGTATTTATCAATATATTGAAGTGATTTATATGGAACATTTATATTAGAGATGCACAAAATTTTAATAATACCACAAATATTGAGATTACAGAAATATTTAAGAATACGTGAAAATCACAAATTATATACACAATTTCATTAAAATTTGTATGGCATTATTAATATTTTGGTATATTTATTAATGAAATATAAAATACATAACAAAATTTAGGATTGATTTATTTGTGGATATTTAAATTCTAATTCCGCACAAGTTATATAATTTGTATTTAAATGTCAAAAAGTTCAATCTAAAATATTTGAAGTAATACATTACATTATTTTTAGGAACGATATAACTTTTATTGTTAGTAACGCATCAGTACAAGCATGGCTAAATGACAAAGAATCTAGATATTATAAGATGGATCATTCTAAACGTGGTGTAGCTGTAATATTTAATCAACAAGCTTTCAATAACTCGGATTTGAATATTCACACTGGCATATATATAGAATGCCTGAATCTTGTTAGGACACTAAAAAGTTTCGGATTTAAAGTATGGGACTGCCATAATACTACGTGTACAGACATAATAAGAATTTTAGAAGCAGGTACTTGTTAATTTGTTTGTTTATTTATAATATTAAATTAAAAAAAAATTTATATTTATGAAGGATATTAATTATAATAAAAAAATTCTCAAAATATATATTTCACAGAAACATAATAATAAAAATATTCAAAAATAATATAATAATAAATTATTGTTTTTGCAGTTGCCAACATGGATCATTCTGAAAGTGATTGCTTGGTAGTAATCGTATTAAGCCACGGCATCTACGATTATCTCTATGCGGCCGACACTTATTATAAAGCAGATGTTCTCTTTAATCGTTTTACTGCCGAAAAATGTTCGACCCTCGCCGGAAAACCTAAACTATTTTTCATTCAAGCTTACAATTATGATGGATTTAACTCTGGCATTACTTCTTCAATGCAGAAAAAAACAAACGACTCTAAAGATGCGATATTTAATATTGAACGTGATTTTCTACTTTGCTATTCAACCATACCAGGTATTTATACTGAAGAATCTTGATGAATCTTAAACTGCTATAAAAAGAATAATTTACATATATTTGTTCATTTTACTTCCCCTCTATCGTATAACAAGTTTGACACCCCTTATGTATAATTGCTGATTAATTATCAATCGTAGATATCTCATTAATTATTTTTAAAATTAACAGCCAATTATTTTCGGGACTATCTTTTGCGGCCAACATGGTTCATAAAAGCCTTGTGCCTTGAATTACGCCAAAATGGTACTCATTACGATTTGCTGACTTTGTTGACATTTGTATGCCAGCATGTCATCGAAGATTTCACATTTAATAAGATGACTGTGCACCAGAAACGGTATACTCCATACATCATTTCTATGCTGACAGGCTTCGTAAAATTTACCAAGAGAGAATCGAATCCAAAAGAAACTTCCAATGTAATCACTAATTAATTATCAATCTTGGCATCTTATGATACATGATTTTCAAAATTAACAAATTATTCTTGGAGCGTTATACACTGTAAAAAAATTTTGTAAAATTACATTAAAATATGTAAAATTACATAAATAATAAATGTAAAATTACATGATAAATAATGAAAAGGTAATCATTTCTATTATTTATCGTGTAATTTTACACTTATTATTTATGTAATTTTACATATTTTTGTGTAATATATTACATATTTTTTTACAGTGTACGTGGGACATGTTTCATGGAAGAGTTGTGTTTTCAATTACACGAAAATGGTACACGTTTTGATTTGATAACTTTATTAGGACACTCGTATGGCCAAAGACTTTGAGACAATCACGTTTAATAATTTGACTATGTATTAAAACACTATTTCCATGCATCATTTCTATGCTGACACTTGGTATTTACTTCAAAATGATTATCATCATAATCGGTTATATGTATGTGTGCATACATATGTTAAATATATATAAATATACATTAAAATGCATATCTCTATCTTGCACTCATACACACATGTCACTGTTGATGTGACTTTATTCCAATCAGTACAATCGGAATGTATATTTTTCTATAAAATGATAAGTATGAATAAGAAAACCGAATCTCTAAAAGTAACATTACCAAACGTTTATCGTAATGCAGCATAATCTTTTTGTGAAAATGACAGAGGTATTAATATGTATGTTTGTACCCACGACATAAGCGAAATATCGTAAATGTTATAAAATAAATGTATCATTTCTTTTTGTAATGTTTATGTAATTTTTGTAATATTTAAAAAGAAATGATAAAACTTTTTATTATTTTTCTTTGTCGGCGAAAGAAAAATGTATAATAATAATGTAAATATGTATAATTATGTAAATTCTCTATCTACGTCCAAATCGAGAATATCAAATCTTAAAGTAAAACATTATCAACATTTATTGTAATGCTATCTAATCATTTTTACAAAAATGATAGAGATATGGTACATTGATAAATATGTATGTGCATATGTGTGCTTGTACAACATGAATGAAACATTGCAAACATTGCCAGACATACATTTATTATTCATTATTTTTTTTTTTTTGTCTAAAAAAATGTGAAATGTACATATGCATATTTACAATATGTATGTGATTATAAAGAAGTAAAAATATTTTCTATATTTTAAGGATGTTTTTTATTATTTTTATAAAAATTGTGATGAAACTTTTATAAAAATATAAATATTTTTTATGTATTATATTAAAAGAAAAAATTTATCGATAATTTTGTCTATAAATTTAAATATGAAAATTTTATCTATAAATTTTATCTATGGATTTAAATATAGATTTCTAGTGCGACACGCACACAGAGACTCGCAATATTTCGCTATTTATGCTAATAAATGCATTTACAATAAATGTAGAAATGTCTACACAAAAGATTCATGTGCACTTTTTTTTCCTTATAATTTGAATTTTATAAAAGTGAAATTTACGCGGAAAAGGAAGGCGTCTCAGCTTCTCTATATTCTTACAAAGGATATTTTTGTACATATAAATAAAAAAAAGATACGATCTAATAAGAACCCGAAGCATTAATTAGACGGAATAAACTTGTTTTACAATTTTCTTTATTTAATTTGAACGTTATGATCTCTTTCCTTTGGACAATTTTCCTTGTGTATTATTTATTTCTATATTTATTATTATAACCGCTATTGCTGTTTTGTATCTTGCTGAGATCATCATTTAATTAGCTTTCTACTTGAATATATATTTACATATCACAGCTGTTTTGTTTCAATCTTGTATACATACGTTTAAATTGAAGGCTGCGAAAAATTGAGTCATCTAAAATTTACCAACAAATGTTATAGTGCGTTTTTTTTACAAATTGCTTATATGTTTAGATGTCTGAGGGAACATATTATAATTTCCAACCAGTGCCAATAAAATCAAGGAAGGAGTGCTTCCATCCTAGAAAATTGACAAAATTTCAACAAAGAAAGCTTTTTTATCCAGTGATCAAACTCAAACACGAGAAGCAACATTATGAGTTCCACACAACATACAAATAGTACAAGCAAAGGAAGCACCAAATCATTAATGATCAGCAGGTATGAAAATGGAAATTGTTAAATGCGATATATTATATATTTTTGCTTTCTCATAGAGAGAACTTTATTGTTATTATAAAATGTACAAATGGTAGCATAAACCCATTATATACGGTTCAGTGAATATATATCTAGTTTTTCTGTAATTTAATATTTAAATCTTTAGATATTTTATATTTTAAGTATTTATTATAACGCTATAAAATAATCTAAATATCGATATAACAATGTGAGATATTGTTAAAGTAGAGAACTAATATGATGATAAAGATCATTATAAAATATAGTATAATATATTTGACTAATATGCTTGATATAAAACAATTATATCAATAACATATCGAATATAATAATAATCCTTGAAATTGCAATTTAATTGCATTGAACAAATTAAGAATGAATTTTATTTAGCACTAGATGTACTTGCAAGTATTTTAAAGCATGATTTCCATTATATTATTTAGTGCTTTGAAATGACATAAATTACATTAAAACTATTTTATTGATATAAATTACATTAAAAATTTTATGAAAACTAAAGTTAAAAAAATTCTTTTCCAAAATCTGCAGTCATTTTTCAAGATTTGCTACAACATACGTAATTATATTAATGTATTAGTATATTTAGTAAGTCGATTATTCATTTGATAGGAAATTTTATATTAGGACAGTTCTAAAAAAATTTTAATATTATACACACTTTGAGATTATAACATTTTTAAAATAATAAATCTGAAAATATATATAATAATAAATCTAGGAATAATAATGAAAATCATAAATTATATACAAAATTTCATTGAAATTGGTGTGGTAATTATAATTTATGGTATATATACATATATTATTTGTCGATGGAATATAAAATATGCTACAAAAATTTAAGTTTGATTAATTGTAGTATTTAAAATTTATGTATAATCCACAAAAGTTACATTATTTGTAGCTAATTAAAAAAAGTCTAATCAAAAATATTTAGAATAAAACACATTACAGCTATTTTTACATTAACGATATAACTTTCAGGAAAGCATCAATACGAGTATGGCTAAACGAGAAAGACTCTAGATATTATAAAATGGATCATTCTAAACGTGGTATAGCTGTAATCTTTAATCAAGAACATTTCGACTTGAATCTCGATACTCGCTTTGGTTCAAGAGCAGATTACAACTTTCTTGTTGACGTACTAAAAAATCTCGGATTTCATGTATGGAAACGTCTTAATTTTACGCGTGAAGGGGTAGAAAAAACATTAAAAACAGGTAAATTGTACTTGATTTGTATGTTTGTTTATATCGTTTGATTAAAAAAATCTTATATCTTTAAAATGACATTTATTAAAATAAAAGAGAATCTCAAAAAATATATTTCATAGATATACAATATATTAAAAATATATATTATCTCTAAAATAATCAGAAAATTACTGTTTTTGCAGTTGCAAAAGTGGACCATTCTGAAAATGATTGCTTGATAATAGTCGTGCTAAGCTACGGCAGATTCAATTATCTCTACGCGGCCGATGCTTGTTATAAAGCAGATTTGCTCTTTAATTACTTTACTGCCGATAAATGTCCAACACTCGCCGGAAAACCTAAACTATTTTTTATTCAAGCTTGCTCTTGCGATGCATTTGACTCAGGCATTACTCCTGTAATACAGGGAGAAACAGGCGGCTTAAGAAACGCATTTTGTATTGAACGTGACTTTCTAATTTTCTACTCAACCGTACCAGGTATTACACTGTTTTATTTTTATATGAATACTAGACAATATTACTATAAGAAACTACTTATATTTATTCGTCATTTACATCTATAAAGTTGTTTTGAAAGAAGTTTTAAATCCCTTAATGTAATTACTGATTAATTATCAGTCTTATTATTAGACACTTCATGAATCATGATTTTTAAAATGAACAGGTCACTATTCTTGGCACATTGCAAATAAAACATGGTTTATAGAAGCCTTGTGTTTAGAATTACGCAAAAATGGTACTCATTACAATTTGGTAACTTTGTTGACATTTGTATGCCATTCTGTTACCTCAGACTATTGGCCAATCTTATGCAATAAATTAACTGAAAAGGAAAAAAAGCAGAATCCATGCATCATTTCTATGCTGACACGCTTGGTGAAATTTTCGCCAAAAAAATAATTGCAGTCATAATCGGTCACATGTGTGTGTGCGTACATATACATACATTAAAATACATACATATGTATCTAACACGCACACGTTTAAACTGAAAATATCGAATCCAAAAGTAAAAGCATTACTAACATTAATGTAGAATAACTATTTTATGAAAATGATAGCGATATTAATATGTGAATTTGTCCGACATAAACAAAACATTATACGAGAAAACATACCTTTATCATTTTTCTTTATCGAAAGAGAAATGTGTAATAATTTACATATATACATATGCATATAATAATGTAAAATTTCTTTACTTTTGAAATAATACGTTCAAGAATATTGAAACCGAAAGTAAAAGCATTAATAACATTTACTGTAATTTAACATAATCTTTTTATGAAAATGACAGAGGTATTAATAAGTGTGTATATATATGTCCGTTTGTATAACATGAACGAAACATTACAAACATTATTGCGAATAAATATACTTTTTTCATTTTCATTTATTGAAAAAGAAATATGTAATGTATATATGCCTATGTGTACAATGTATGTGTAACTATAAAGCAAAAATATTTTCTATATTTTAAGAGAACTTTTTATCATAAATATTTTCAATAATTTTGATGTATGCACAAAAAATTTTATCGACTTTATTATTCTATAAATTTAAATTTAAATTTAAATTTTAAGCCTGAATAGAGATTGAACATTTATATTGTTAATAACACTTGCTTTCTAATAAATGCAAAAACGTCTAAATATCAAGAAATCAAAGGGCACAATCTTTTTTCCTTTGCGAATTTTATACTTTAGAGAAGTCTTATTTAAGCGTAAAAAAGAAAAAAGATCTCGCCTTTTTTTTACGAAGAAATCTTGTACATATAAATAAAAATTCAAGAAACGGGCTAATAAGAGCAAGGCAGAAATACAGCGCAATAAGCTTGTTTTAAAATATTTTTATTTAATTTGAACTTTTAGGCCATCTTCACTTATGATTAATATTTTACAACTGTCATTGCTATTTTGTATGTCGCCGAGATCATGACTTTTGTTAGTCCGTTTGCTACATGAATTTGTATAGACACATCAAAGTCTTCATATAAAGTTTATCAACAGATATTATCGCCAGTTTTTATTTTCTACAGACAGGTTTCTATGTTAACGTTTAATTGTTTGAGTGAACATTTATAGGTACCATCCAGTGCCTATAAAATCAAGAAAGAAGAAGCGCTTTTATTCTGCTCGCGTAAAATTATCTCCGAAATCGTTTGACAACGAATCATCTAAAGAACTACTACGTAAAAGCAACGAAACTATCTTCCCTGATCAAACTCGAACACGAGAAGCGACGTTATGAGTTCCACGAAGTCCGAAGACGACACCAGTAAGGACCAAAAAGACGAGGTCGAATGTGTCAGACCATTTGCCAAGAATTCTCTAGAACCCAAGAGGTATTGAGACAGAAATTTGTGTTAAACTCGATACATTATTTTATTTTTTTTATTATAATATAAATTGTCATAACTGTTGCTAGTGAATTGCCAGTAAATACATTTCCACGAACATATTTAGTTATTTTTTATAATTTTTAAATTTTTAGATATTTAATTTAACGCGATATATTTAATGTAAAGCATAAAGTGATCAATATCGATATTGTACCTAATGTAGATATCAGATATTCTTGAAGTTATAACTAAGTTGCATTGAACAGAATGCATTCTATTATTTGGCACTTTATGTGATTCCAAGTAATTTAAAGTATGATTTCAATTATATTATTTAGTGCTTTGCAATATTTTACGGTATAAATTACACGAAAAAATGTTTTATCTATAGATATCTATAGATTATTCTATAGATACAAAAAATTTTAATAATATAAACTTTAAGATTATACAATTGTTTAACAAATGAATCTAAGAATATACGAGAATCATAAATTATATTTTCATTGAAATTGTAATATTATTAATAATTTGATATATTTATAAATAAAATATACTGCAAAATTTAGACTTGAATTGTAATGGACATTTAAAATATGATTTAAAATATAATTTAATAAAAAATTATATAATTGGCAGGATGTTACGTCCATGGCTAACCGATGAAGACTCTAACTATTATAAGATGGATCATTCTAAACGTGGTATAGCTGTGATCTTTAATCAAGAAAATTTCACCAACTTGAATCTCCCTCTTCGCTCTGGTGCAATAGATTGCGACAATCTTAATTTTACTTTAAGAAATCTCGGATTTGAAGTATCACTTTGTCAAAACAAAACACTTAAAAACATAAGAAAAACTTTAAAAACAGGTGAGTCGTATGATTGATTTGCATGTTTATTTACAAAACTTTATTTTAAAAAATTGTTACATCTTTTAAAACATATTTATTAAAATTGAGAAAATTTCGAAAATTATGTTTTATAGAAACACTATATGATAAATATCTTATAAAATAATAATAAATTCTTGTTTTTATTTTTACAGTTGCTAATACAGATCATTCTGAAAGTGATTGCTTGATAATAGTCGTATTAAGCTTCGGCAAACACGATTATCTCTATGCAAGCGACACTTCTTATAAAGTAGAATCTCTCTGCAATTACTTTACTGCAGATAAATGTCCGACCCTCGCCGGAAAGCCGAAATTATTTTTTATTCAAGCTGGCTGTTGTAATGTAATTAAGCCAGGTACTTCTTGTGAACAGAGAGGAACAGAGGATTTATCAAAAGCGACGTTTCGTATTGAACCTGACTTTCTGATTGTCTACTCAGCCATACCAAGTATTTATATTCTTATTGTTTTATCTATACATAAATATAAGATTGTTCTGCAAAGACCTACTTACATCTATTCGTCATTTTACCGCCCTTTTATCGTAAGGTTTATAAACGTGTAAAGTTTGAAACCCCTAATGTATAACTGCTGATCATTTGCCAATCGAAAATACCTTTTTAATTACTTTTAAAATCAACAGGCAATTGTTTTCGGAACTACATTGTGCGGCCAACATGGTTCATAGAAGCCTTATGCTTACAATTATGCGAAAATACTACTCATTACGATTTGATGACTTTGCTGACATTCGTATCTTATTATATTACCACAGACTATTATCCAACTTTAAGTAAAAAATTGACTGAACAGCAGAAACAACAAATTCCATGCATCACTTCTATGTTGACACGCTTGATAAAATTTACTCCAAAGTAAATAAATGATAAATAATTTGTGTGTGAGTATGTATGTACACATACGTTTATTAAAATGTATACATATATATATATATATATATATATATATATATATATATATATTACACACTCATAAACGTATACACACAAATTTACATATACCTGTATGTATATATGTATACACAAATGTATAAATATACATCCACATATATATATATATATATATGTATATGTATTTATATCATAGATATATTACATATGGATAGAGAAGTTTTGTGCGATCTTTGCCGCATTTATCTCTTTTTGTTTTGGCAGACAACTTATGAACATAGCATTTCTACATAAAAAAAAGAAAATATTAAACAAAATATGCAGCTAAGTTTTGCGTTCAATTATAGGAAAACGTCTCATGGTTGTTGTAAATGATAAAAATTTAAAAAAGCATATAAAGATTATGTTTTATCACATGTTTAGGTTTTTATCGGTGTGCGATTCATCTTCAACTATTTCGCGATCCTTCGAAAACATTTGTTGTCTCATTTAAAAATCTAATAAAACATGCACATGAAAAAACATGATCAAATGCTCTTTTTAACTTTTATTTTTTACTTTTGTTCAATATTTTTGCTCCATAACGATTAGATACGATGACGAGGTGTACTAATTCATATTTATAAAAAATATAATGACACATTAACGTAACCGAATGAAACGAAATTTGCTTTTAAAGAAAACATATATTCTGAGTAATTAAAATTTTTCAATATTGCCACATTATGCGCTACATATTCGTATTTCGTCATTTTGTAACAGATCATGTATTACTATAGTCAATGTCAGTTTACACCAACCGGATGTATATTCCCTATGTAAGGTATTATACGTCCGGATTTAAAAAATCAAATGCAAAAATGTGAAAACATTAACATTTACTATAATTTTTTAGTGACACTGACAAAATGACAAAAATGATATAGTTATTGATATTTATGCTTATACAGCCTAAACGAAATAAACATTACTATAAGAAACATAATTTTATCATTTTTCTTTGTCGAAAGAAAAATGTATATATGTAATAATATAAATATAAATTATCAATTTAGGCGATACGAAATAAGAATTTCGCATCCAAAAACATTTGGAAGATTTACTATAATCATAGATATATTACATATAGATAGAGCTATCTTAATTATCTTGGCACGTAGTAAGATAGATAAAGCTCTATCTATATGTAATAAATCTATGACTATAATGCAACATAATTTTTTACAAAAATGTGAAATGCATACATATATGTATATGTATATGTAGAATACATCTGTAATTATAAAGTAGGAAAATATTTTTAGAATTTTTTATCATTTTATATAAAAAGAAAACTTGATTTAATCTTAGTTGAGAAAACTTGCAATTTTTATTCAATCAAATATATTATTAAAAATCATTAATTTAATCTACAAATTTGAATTCGAACTTCTAGCATGATAGAGACTGAATATTTTTGTCTTCGCAGCTATTTGTATAACTAATAAATCTTTTCACAATGAACGTAGAAACGTCTAATAATAAAATGCACACTCTTTTTTTTCCTTACGAATTTGAATTTTATTTTTAATTTTTAATTTGAATTTGAATTTTTTTTTACGAAGTTGAATTTTATAGGCTGCATTCTCTTTGACGCTTTCAGCGCTATAAGCATCTTCTGTCTTCGTTGCACATCGTCGAATATCAAACGCGTGAAGTGGAGGAAGGTTCTTAGCATTTATCTAGTTTTAAATAATATTTTTGTACATATAAATAAAATTTAAAACTGGCTGAAAAAAGCCGGGCACAGAAATTAAGCGCGACTTTATTTTAAAATTTTTATGTAATTTGAGCGGTACAATCCTCTTCTTTTGAATCATCTTCGCTTATGTACGATCTATATAAGATTTAATATAATATTTATTATTATAATCATTGCTATTTTGCAGATCGAGATCATGACTTACTATAGTCGGCTTCGTACTTGAGTTTTTATATTTATACATATCAGAGCCGTTTTGTTTTATTCTTATACTTATGTTTGAAGTGATGGCTGTGAAAGACTTATAACGTATAAGTAATATAAAGTTCATCAACAGATAAGCCCCAGACACAGTGACAGGCAACAGGAATAAAAAATAGGAAATATCAACCACTTGAGAAAGGAAACAGATATTGTTCTCTGCTCTTATTGATGGATATTTTCTATTTCTTATTTTTATTGCCTGTTGCCTAGCATTGTGTGCACATTTTTTTTCTCAGACGCTTATATATTTGATTGTCTGAGTGAACATTTACTTCCTCTCCAGTCAATAAAATCACCAATAAAATCAAGACAAAAGAAGAAGTGTCTTTATCAACTCCGTGAACTTAGCCTCCCTAGTTTGACATTTTGTTTTTTTTCTTTAAATCATTTTAAGAGGTTTGTTGGATTAGCCTCTCGCTGTAAAATAAAAATGACCGTGAAGTTAGCCCCCTGTTTTTAATTTCAAATTCTATTTTAATTTTTCAGATGCTCAATCGATGGGGAATCGTTTGTTAATCATGAATGTATTAATTAGAGCGTTCGTTAGATCATCTATTAAATTTTCCCTACAAAATTACCAAATATAGTTGTTTGCTTTTATTTAAAAGACGACGATCTAACAAACGCTCTAATTAGTATCTTCGTGACTAACAAATAATTCCGCATTGATTAAGTCTGAAAATTGAAATAAGATTGAAATTAAAACGGGGGGCTAACTTCACGGTCATTTTTATTTTTCATTTCGCAGCGAGAGGCTAATTTAACAAACGTTTAATTAATCTATCAATCACCTACAAACGATTTAAAGAAAAAAATTTTGAAATATCAAAGTAGGAGGACGTAGTTCAAGGAGCTGCTTTCATCTAGGGATCCTCTCTATTGAGAATCTTCCTTTTTTTACGCAAAGGAAACCTTTTATAGGTACTCAGAGTCCTCGGGAAAGGGACAGTGGATTTTATGCGGGACTCCTTCCATCCATCCCAGAGAGGATGGTATATCTACGAAGGAATCCTCTTATGAGATCTATTTTTTTTGACTGAACTCAACTGACCTGGCTGTATTAATTCAGAGTTTCTTTTTTACTCCACATTGGAAAGAAAGAGATAATCTCTGAACTAATGCAGCCAGTTCAGCTGAGTTCAGCCAATGATGTATGACTGTGGTGTATGAACGCAGCAATTTTGTGGGAATGGAAGAACCACTTGGAATGTAGATGTGGGAGTGGAAGGAATAGCGGTTCTAGTTCTTTATTCATGGCAGTATTGTGGGTTTTCCTTTGACTATTCCTTCTCCCTCTGCATAATATTCAAAATGTTGTGTCTAAAGTGGATCTCCCTTTTCTGAAGAATTTTAATATCATGGGCATGAAGGGAAGAAGGGTTCTTACTTAGCATTGCTTACAAAAAATATTTTTGTACATATAAATGCAAATTCAAAATTAAGCTAATAACAGAGGCGCAGAAATAAGGTGCAATAAATTTGCTTTATAATTTATTTAATTTGAATATTACAATCCCACCATTCGGAGATTGACTTATTTATTCGTTTTCTACTTGAATTTATATATTTACATCAGAGCCGTTTCATTTTATTCTTATACATGTATTTAATGTGAGGGATATTACAGATTGATAAATAATGTAAAGTTTATCAACAGACATTATCGCGCGTTTTATCGTCCTCAGATGTGCTTATATATGTTTGGTTGTTTTAGTGAACAGTTTCTATCCAGTGTCAATAAGATTAGAGACAGAAGAAGAAGTGCTTATTATATCCTGCTTACACAAAATTGTCTTTGAATTCGTTTGACGACATATCTGAGCAACGACTACAAAAAGACTAAAAAACTATTCTTTCACTGTGATAAAACAAGAGGCAACGTTATGGATTTCGAGCCTGGTAATAGTATTAATAAGGATGGAAGTCGAATCAATGCCATCGCACAAATGTAATTTCCAAAGTAAAAGTATACATGTATTGAACGCGATATGTTTTAATTTTTTTTTATTTTATTAGTACATTATATTATTATATATTATATTTATTATATAGTATAAATCATAAAAGATGCTAGCATATTGTAAATGAATACATTACTGTGATATATTAACAGGTTTTTTAATAATTATATAATTTTTTTATATTAAATATTTTAAATATTTAATATAAGGCGAAATATTTAATATACTGGATTAAAATAATCGTTGATATTGTAGCAATGAAAGATGTATATAGCTGCTTAAGTAGAGATTACCATTATAATATAATATTATAAAAATCATTAAGATCTAATATGATTAATATGCTTGATATAAAACGATTATCAATAAAATATCGAATATTTTTAAAGTAACTCGTTATAATGAACAAACCTACAATGAATTTTGTATAGCTCTACATGTGTTTGCAAATATTTTAAAGCTTATTTTAATTACATTATTTAGTATTTGGAAATATTTTAAAGATATAAATTATGTAAAAATTTTTATTTAAACGTATAAAAATTTAATTAAAAAAATTATTTCCAAAATCTGCATTAACTTTCTTTTCAAGATTAAGCATTAACAATATAAACATTGAATTATATCAATATTTTAAGTATTTAGCAATGTTATGATTTATTTATAATTAATATAAAATTTATATTATTATTATATTATTATTTTATATTATTTTTATTTTTATTATTATTTAATAGTATCACAAATTTTGAGATTGTAGAAATCTTTTGAAATAATGAATCTAAAAAAATATATCAAAATCATAAATTCTATAGAAAATTTTAATGAAATTGCTTTTGTATTATTAATTAGTTGATAGATTTATCGTTAAAATATAAAATATAATCCAAAATTTAGGCTTGATTTTTTATGGATATTTAAAATATAATTTTACATAAGTTATATATAGTTTGTATCTAATCCAAAAAGGCCATATTTAAAATATTTGGAACTATACATTACAATTATTTTTACAGGCAAAGCAGTCAGGAAATTGTTCAACAATATTTGCCCGTTGATGTATTTTACAAGATGGATCATTCTAAACGTGGTCTAGCTGTAATATTTAATCAAACATGGTTCCCTAACCTGCCTCTCCTTGCTTGCTGTGCTGCTAATTATATTGATCACAGCAATCTTCGTGATACACTAAAAAGTCTGGAATTTTATATATGGGACTGCAATGATTATACTTCTGAAAACATAGGAATTAAATTAAATGAAAGTAAGTCGTATTTGATTTGCATGTTTATTTATAATAGTTGATTTAAAAATTTGTTATATCTTTTAAAAGATATTTATCAAAATAGAGAAAGTAAAAAAAATAAATTTTATAGAAATACTATGTGATAAATATATCTTTTAAAATAATAATAAATTATTGTTTTGCAGTTGCCAACCTAAATCATTCTGAAAGTGATTGCTTGGTAATAGTCGTGTTAAGCTACGGCGTACGCGATTATCTTTATGCGCGCGATAATTATTACAGAGTAGATTTTCTCTGTAATTTCTTTACTGCTGATAAATGTCCGACCCTCGCTGGGAAGCCTAAATTATTTTTATTCAAGCTTGCCAATGCGATCAAAGCAACTCTACTTTTGAACGTACATGTAGACCAAACGAATTGTCAGACGCATTTCGTATTGAACATGATTTTCTGGTTGTCTACTCGTCTATACCAGGTATGCTATTATCTGTAGATGAATATTAGATTGCTATACATCTATTTGTTATTTTACTCCTGGCTCGTACAATCTATACGTCAAGTTTGAAACTTTTAATGTAATTGCTGATTATTCAAAAAAATTCAAGAATATCTCGATTCATGATTTAAAATATTAACAGCTTACTACACTTCGACAAATAAAAGTGAAACCAGTGGAACGTGGTTCATTGAAGCTTTATCCTCTCAATTACGCGAAATGGGCACTCATTACGATTTGTTAACTTTATTGACATTTGTATGTAAACGTGTTACCAACAACTTTAACGGAATCCCACATTTGACTCAGTTTCAAAAAAAACAAGTTCCATGCATTATTTCTATGCTGACATCCTTGGTGAAATTTACTCCAAAGCAGGCAAATCAGGAAGCTCAAGGATGATGACCGAGATCTGTTTGTGAACCGGAAATATGCCCCCTTCTAAAACTTCTTGAAATTTGTTTGAAGTAAGTAAGATTTGAAAAAATAAGTCTTGAAAAAAATAAATATTTTTTGAAGCAAAGTATTTTTTTATATTCAAGTATTGAAAACATGCATCTTAATACAAAATATAGTTTATGGCCAGTGATGTAAAATGAATTTGATATGTCTGCTTCAAGGAAATTGTGGTCATTTGTGTGTGTGGGTGTGTATACATACATATATATACAGGGTGTAACAAAGACTTCTCTGCTTTTCATTGTATATTCTAGCTTTTGTACTTTGTTATGGTTCCGATTTTTTTGTTACACCCTGTATACATGTATATGTAAATTAACAAATGAGTATACTCTAATCGGTATGTATATTCCCTATTTAGAATATGATAAGACCGAAACGAGAATATCGAATGCAAAACAAGTATTACTAACATTTATTATAATGCAGCATAATTTCTTTACAGAAATAAAGTATTGATATGTGTGTTTGTACGGCATAAGTGAAATAATCATTATGAGAAGACAAACTTTTATGATTTTGCTTTGTCAAAAAAGAAATGTAATAATAATATACATGTGTTATATAATAATGTAAATTTTCTATATAGGGTATGATTTATTCGAACCGAGAATCGCATTCGAAAATAAAAGCATTACTACTAGTGTATTTACTGTAATGCAACATTATCATTCTACGAAAATACAATATATTGATAAATGTATATGTGCGTTTATATATATAACATGTACGGAACATTGCAAACATTACGACAAAAGTTTATAAATCATTTTTTATTGTTGAAAGAAATGTAATGTACAATTTGTGTAATTATAAAGTGTTAAAAAAAAATTTCTATTATTAAAGAATTGTTTTATTATTTTTATAAAAAACACATACTTAATTTTTATGTATTTAAATATATTATAAAAAATCAATAATTTTTTATCTATAAATTTAAATTTCTAGCATGATAGATTGAATAATTGGTATTCAGCTAATTACATTTTATTAATCAATATTTTTACAATAAGCAAAAATCTAGAAAAGTCTCAAAAGAATTCACGCACTTTTTTCTTTACGAATTTGAGTTTTATAGAATTTATATTTACACTTAAGCGGGAAGAGAATTCGCATTATTTTTACATTTTCATAAAAGATATTTTTATACATATAAATACAAATTTAAGACATGGGCTAAGAAGACTGGCGCAAACTTGTTTAAATACATTTTATATTTATTTTGAACGTTAGAAAAACGATCTCCTTTTAAACCATCTTTGCTTATGTATAAGATCTATTTATTATTTATTATTTATAATCATCACTGCTGTTTTATAAGTCGTCGAAATCATAACTTAGTCCGTTGAATTTGTATTTATATATCACAACCTTCTCGTTTTATTCTTGTACATCTTTAAAGTGAGATAAAAGGTTTCTGAGTCATATGAATTTTATTAGCAGAGAAATATTATTAATATTTTGCACTTTTGTTTTTACAGACGTGCTTATATGATTGATTACTACGAGATTTTTCTTTGAATCCGTTTGACGACTATACAACGATTATAAAAACGCAAAATTATCCTGTTCCTGTGATCCAACTCGAATTCGAACACGAAAAGCAGCATCATGAATTCCATCGAATTCGAAGACTATATCAGTGAAAATGAAGAAGAAATCGATATTATGAATGTTGACGATGTCAGGACATCATTAGAAACGAGCAGGTCGGTAATGATTTGTGAGAAAATTTAAATTAGAGATCTAAAAAATGTTTAATAATCTCATAGACATTAATTGAGATTATAGAATCTTTTGAAATAATGCATGCAAAAATATATGAAAATCATAAATAATAATATACAAAATTTTATTGATATTGGTATAATATTATTAATAATTTAATATATTTGTCGAGAAAATATGCACTGCAAAATTTAGATTCTGTACACATTTAAAATATAATTCTACATATTATTTGTAGCTAATCCAAAAAAGTTTAATTTAAAATATTTGAAACGGTACAATACAATTTTTGCAGAGACGATATGGCTTCTGATGCTGCAACATTACAAATATCGTCAACCGAAAATTACTTTACACATTATAAGATGGATCTTAAACGTGGTATAGCTATAATCTTTAATCAAAACTTTCGTGACTTATATGTGGTCACTAGCACTACTGGTACTAATGTATGTTGCAGTAATCTTATTAATACATTACACGGACTCGGCTTTGACATATGGAACTGCCAAAATTTTATGTATGCAAATGTAATAGAAACTTTAATAAGAGGTGAGTTGTACTTATTGATTTGCAATGTTTATTTACATTTGATATAACAAGTTATTATATTTTCAAAAGAATATTGATTAATTAAATTGAGGATATTAAAATAAAGAAAATTCTAAAAGAAATATGTCATAAAAACATAACACAATAAAAATATTCTAAAAAATAATCACAAATTATTGTTTTTACAGTTGCAAAATTGGACCATTTTGAAAATGATTGCTTGATAGTAATCATGTTAAGCTACGGCAACAGCATAAAATAACAGATGTTCACTTTAATCGTTTTACTGTCCAAAAATGTCCGACTCTCGCAGGAAAACCTAGGTTTTTTTTATTCAAACTCGCCATACTGATGAATTTATGTCAAGGATTCCTTTGGTTCAGTATCCTTCACAGGGAAAAACATTTTAGATGGAATCTGACTACCTGATTATCCACTCAACTATACCAGGTATTATACTTTTTCTGTAGGTGAATATTAGATTGCTGCAAAAATTTATTTACATCTATTCGTCACTCTATTTTCTCTCTATCAAATAGTTTGTAAACATTTCCAATTTGAAACTTTCAATATAATTGCTAATGAAGTATTCATCAGTTTATGACATCTCGTGATTCATGATTTTCAAAATTAACAGGTTGTTATTCTCAAAGCGTTTTACATGGAACATGTTTCATGGAATAGCTGTGCTTCCAGTTACGTGAAAATGGTACTCGTTATGATTTGATAACTTTATTGACATTTATATGGCAGCGTGTTGCCAAAGATTTTGAGATAATTAAATTTAATGGTTTGACTATGTTTCAAAAGCAACAACTTCCACGCATGATTTTTGCGTTGAATAAAATTCACTCCAAAGTTTTTAGGGTCACAATCTGATAAGAACAAGCATATACCGAAGTTATAAAAGTTACTAGGTAATTACTAATATTTTCTGTAATGCAGCATAATCTTTTTACAAAAGTGATAGAAATTTTGATATACGAGTTTGTACGACATAAGCGAGTTAAAGTTGCACTTTTTTTTCCTTAATTACGAATTTGAATTTTAGAACGCATAGGCCTCGTTCACATCCAGCATTTGATACACGTATCAAATAGTGTATTTGAGCTGATCAGCTAATAATTGAACCAATTTACTAGTTATTTACTATTTGCTACGCGTATTAAACGATCGATGTAAACTAGATCATAGTTACACGAAAAGTTGAGGAAAATTCTTAGCATTTCTCTACCCTTTAAGGATATTTTTACACATATAAATAAAATTCAAGACTGATAAAAGCCGAGCGTAGAAATTAAGCGCAAATTTATTTTAAAATCTTGTTTATTTTATTTAAAGTACTATTCTCTTCTTTTGTGAAGCATCTTTTAGTTCCACACACAATGCCACGCAACAGCCCAGAGGGCTTATTCTTGAATTAATTTGCAAGAGAAACGTATGTGTAAATTCAGTTCTTACAGAAAAGTTGCAAGTTGATTGGCTATTGCATATGGCTTTTAGCCATATTCATTATTAGCCATATCAATTATTCTTGAATTTATTCAAGCCTATGGTTTGACGTTATTTTGACGTTTGATTTGTTATTTTGACGTGTAGTAATAGTCTGTTCTTTTCAGCTGAACTGGCTACACTAGTGCAGAGATTGTCTTTTTCCTTCCAATGTCGAGCAAGACCTAATATAAATAGGTCGTACAAATAAGTTACACTCCGCACACAATGCCAGGCAACAGGAATAAGAACTAGAAAATATCCACCACCAACCAATCGAAAGAGAATTCCTATCCGCTATCTCTACTCCTACTCTCATACCTCGCTTTTATACTCCAAACTATTTTAAACTTCTTAAACCTAATTCTCTTATTATCGATATTATGTATCTCAGAGTACAAAAATCTAATCTATCCATCTTACATAGTCTAGCATAACTTTCTTAAATTCTTTTTTTTCACTGCATATTCATATCTCTACACCATATTCCATAATACTTTTCACTAAATAGCTAAACAATACCCATCTTCTGATGGTTATTCCATCTTTTGTTCTTATATAGCCACTTCTACAGGTCATCTACTTCTGTTTCTTCCATAATAGATCATAATTTTTCCCTATAAACATTCGAAGGCTATCTCTAAGTCCACGAACAATGCATAGACTTTTTTATCTTTTCCTTTGACTTTTCCTTCTCCCTCTGCATAATATTCAAAATGTTGTGTCCAAAGTAGATCTCCCTTTTCTGAAGAGTTTTAATAATATTTAATATAATATTAATATGAAGGGAAGAAGGGTTCTTACTTAGCATTTCTTACAAAAACTATTTTTGTACATATAAATACAAATTCAAAATTAAGCTAATAACAAGTGCAAAAATAAGGTGCAATGAATTTGCTTTAAAATTTATCTAATTTGAATATTACAATCCCATCATTCGGACCATTTTCAATTGTGTATATGATCTATATATATATTTATATATATTTATTATTAACCGTTATTGCTGTTTTGTATGTCACTGAAATTATGACTTATTTATTCGTTTCCTATTTGAATTTATATTTACATCTAAGCCTTTTCGTTTTATTCTTATACTTGTGTTTAAAATGAAGGATATTAAAGATTGATAAATAATGTAAAGTTTATGAACAGACATTATCGCGCGTTTTTTCGTCCTCAGATGTGCTTATATATGTTTGGTTGTTTCAGTGAACAGTTTCTATCCAGTGTCAATAAGATTAGAGACAGAAGAAGAAGTGATTATTATATCCTGCCTACACAAAATTGTCTTCGAATTCGTTTGACGACGTATCTGAGCAACGACTACAAAAAGACTAAAAAACTATTCTTTCACTGTGATAAAACAAGAGGCAACGTTATGGATTTCGAGCCTGGTAATAGTATTAATAAGGATGGAAGTCGAATCAATGCCATCGCACAAATGTAATTTCCAAAGTAAAAGTATACATGTATTGAACGCGATATGTTATAATTTTTTTTTATTTTATTAGTACATTATATTATTATATATTATATTTATTATATAGTATAAATCATAAAAGATGCTAGCATATTGTAAATGAATACATTACTGTGATATATTAACAGGTTTTTTAATAATTATATAATTTTTTTATATTAAATATTTTAGATATTTAATTTAAGGCGAAATATTTAATATACTGGATTAAAATAATCGTTGATATTGTAGCAATGAAAGATGTATATTGCTGCTTAAGTAGAGATTACCATTATAATATAATATTATAAAAATCATTAAGATCTAATATGATTAATATGCTTGATATAAAACGATTATCAATAAAATATCGAATATTTTTAAAGTAACTCGTTATAATGAACAAACCTACAATGAATTTTGTATAGCTCTACATGTGTTTGCAAATATTTTAAAGCTTTATTTTAATTACATTATTTAGTATTTGGAAATATTTTAAAGGTATAAATTATGTAAAAAATTTTTATTTAAACGTATAAAAATTTAATTAAAAAAATTATTTCCAAAATCTGCATTAACTTTCTTTTCAAGATTAAGCATTAACAATATAAACATTGAATTATATCAATATTTTAAGTATTTAGCAATGTTATGATTTATTTATAATTAATATAAAATTTATATTATTATATTATTATTTTATATTATTTTTATTTTTATTATTATTTAATAGTATCACAAATTTTGAGATTGTAGAAATCTTTTGAAATAATGAATCTAAAAAATATATATCAAAATCACAAATTCTATAGAAAATTTTAATATAAAATTGCTTTTGTATTATTAATTAATTGATAAATTTATTGTTAAAATATGAAATATAATCCAAAATTTAGGCTTGATTTTTTATGGATATTTAAAATATAATTTCACATAAGTTATATAGTTTGTATCTAATCCAAAAAGGCCATATTTAAAATATTTGGAACTATACATTACAATTATTTTTACAGGCAAAGCAGTCAGGAAATTGTTCAATATTTGCCCGTTGATGTATTTTACAAGATGGATCATTCTAAACGTGGTTTAGCTGTAATATTTAATCAAACATGTTTCCCTAACCTGCCTCTCATGGATCGCCGTATTACTAATGAGATTGATCATCGCAATCTTAGTGATACACTAAAAAGTCTGGGATTTGATATATGGGACTGTAATGATTATACTTATGTAAACATAGGAATTAAATTAAATGAAAGTAAGTCGTATTTGATTTGCATGTTTATTTATAATAGTTGATTTAAAAATTTGTTATATCTTTTAAAAGATATTTATTAAAATAGAGAAAGTAAAAAAAATAAATTTTATAGAAACATTATATGATAAATATATCTTTTAAAATAATAATAAATTATTGTTTTGCAGTTGCCAACCTGAATCATTCTGAAAGTGATTGCTTGATAATAGTCGTGTTAAGCTACGGTGTACGCGATTGTCTCTATGCGTGCGATACTTATTACAGAGTAGATCTTCTCTGTAAGTTCTTTACTGCTGATAAATGTCCGACCCTCGCTGGGAAGCCTAAATTATTTTTTATTCAAGCTTGCCAATCCGATCAAAGAAACTCTGCTTTTGAACGTACATGTAGAAACGAATTGTCAGACGCATTTCGTATTGAACATGATTTTCTGATTGTCTACTCATCTATACCAGGTATGCTATTATCTGTAGATGAATATTAGATTACTATACAGAAAATTATTTACGTCTATTTGTTATTTTACTCTTGGCTCATACAATCTATACGTCAAGTTTGAAACTTTTAATGTAATTGCTGATTATTATTCAAAAAAATTTAAGAATATCTTGTTTTAAAATATTAACAGCTTACTACGCTTTGACAATGAGTAATGAACGTGGGAGAATTAGTGGATCGTGGTTCATGGAAGCTTTATCCTCTCAATTACGCGAAAATGGCACTCGTTACGATTTGTTAACATTATTGACATTTGTATGTAAACGTGTTACCAAGAACTTTAACGGAATCCCACATTTGACTCTGTTTCAAAAAAAACAAGTTCCATGCATTATTTCTATGCTGACATCTTTGGTAAAATTTACTCCAAAGCAGGCAAATCAGGAAACTATAGGATATGATGACCGAGATCTGTTTGTGAACCGGAAATATGCCCCCTTCTAAAACTTCTTGAAATTTGTTTGAAGTAAGCACGATTTGAAAAAATAAGTCTTGAAGAAAATAAATATTTTTAGAGCAAAGTATTTTTTTATATTCAAGTATTGAAAACATGCATCTTAATACAAAATATAGTTTATGGCCAGTGATGTAAAATGAATTTGATATGTCTGCTTCAAGGAAATTGTGGTCATTTGTGTGTGTGGGTGTGTATACATACATATATATACAGGGTGTAACAAAGACTTCTCTGCTTTTCATTGTATATTCTAGCTCTTGTACTTTGTTATAGTTCCGATTTTTTTGTTACACCCCGTATACATGTATATGTAAATTAACAAATGAGTATACTCTAATCGGTATGTATATTCCCTATTTAGAATATGATAAGACCGAAACGAGAATATCGAATGCAAAACAAGTATTACTAACATTTATTATAATGCAGCATAATCTCTTTACAAAATAAAGTATTGATATGTGTGTTTGTACGGCATAAGTGAAATAATCATTATGAGAAGACATACTTTTATGATTTTGCTTTGTCAAAAAAGAAATGTAATAATAATATACATGTGTTATATAATAATATAAATTTTTTTATATAGGGTATGATTTATTCGAACCGAGAATCGTATTCGAAAATAAAAGCATTACTATTATTTACTGTAATGCAACATTATCATTCTACGAAAATACAATATAATGATAAATGTATATGTGCGTTTATTGTTTATATATATAACATGTACGGAACATTGCAAACATGACGACAAAAGTTTATAAATCATTTTTCATTGTTGAAAGAAATGTAATGTACAATTTGTGTAATTATAAAGTGTCAAAAAAATTTCTATTATTAAAGAATTGTTTTATTATTTTTATAAAAAACACATACTTAATTTTTATGTATTTAAATATATTATAAAAAATCAATAATTTTTTATCTATAAATTTAAATTTCTAGCATGATAGATTGAATAATATGTATTCAGCTAATTACATTTTATTAATCAATATTTTTACAATAAGCAAAAATCTAGAAAAGTCTCAAAAGAATTCACGCACTTTTTTCTTTACGAATTTGAGTTTTATAGAATTTATATTTACACTTAAGCGGGAAGAGAATTCGCATTATTTTTACATTTTTATAAGATATTTTTATATATATAAATACAAATTTAAGACATGGGCTAAGAAGACTGGCGCAAACTTGTTTAAATACATTTTATATTTATTTTGAACGTTAGAAAAACGATCTCCTTTTAAACCATCTTTGCTTATGTATAAGATCTATTTATTATTTATTATTTATAATCATCACTGCTGTTTTATAAGTCGTCGAAATCATAACTTAGTCCGTTGAATTTGTATTTATATATCACAACCTTCTCGTTTTATTCTTGTACATCTTTAAAGTGAGATAAAAGGTTTCTGAGTCATATGAATTTTATTAGCAGAGAAATATTATTAATATTTTGCACTTTTGTTTTTACAGACGTGCTTATATGATTGATTACTACGAGATTTTTCTTTGAATCCGTTTGACGACTATACAACGATTATAAAAACGCAAAATTATCCTGTTCCTGTGATCCAACTCGAATTCGAACACGAAAAGCAGCATCATGAATTCCATCGAATTCGAAGACTATATCAGTGAAAATGAAGAAGAAATCGATATTATGAATGTTGACGATGTCAGGACATCATTAGAAACGAGCAGGTCGGTAATGATTTGTGAGAAAATTTAAATTAGAGATCTAAAAAATGTTTAATAATCTCATAGACATCAATTGAGATTATAGAATCTTTTGAAATAATGCATACAAAAATATATGAAAATCATAAATTATATACAAAATTTTATTGATATAATGTTATTAATAATTTAATATATTTGTCGAGAAAATATGCATTGCAAAATTTAGATTCTGTACACATTTAAAATATAATTCTACATATTATTTGTAGCTAATCCAAAAAAGTTTAATTTAAAATATTTGAAACGGTACAATACAATTTTTGCAGAGACGATATGGCTTCTGATGCTGCAACATTACAAATATCGTCAACCGAAAATTACTTTACACATTATAAGATGGATCATCCTAAACGTGGTATAGCTATAATCTTTAATCAAATATTTCCTGACTTGGATGTGGTCACTCGCACTACTGGTACTAATGTATGTTGCAGTGAACTTATTAATACATTACACGGACCCGGCTTTGACATATGGAACTGCCAAAATTTTATGTATGCAAATTTAATAGAAGCTGTAAAAAGAGGTGAGTCGTACTTATTGATTTGCATGTTTATTTACACATTTGATATGACAAGTTATTATATTTTCTAAAGAATATTGATTAATTAAATTAAGGATATTAAAATAAAGAAAATTCTAAAAGAAATATGTCATAAAAACATAACACAATAAAAATATTCTAAAAAATAATCACAAATTATTGTTTTTACAGTTGCAAAATTGGACCATTTTGAAAATGATTGCTTGATAGTAATCATGTTAAGCTACGGCTTCAGCGATTATGTCTCTGCGTCCGACATTTATTATAAAACAGATGTTCTCTTTAATCGTTTTAGTATCCAAAAATGTCCGACCCTCGCGGGAAAACCTTAGTTTTTTTTTATTAAAACTCGCCTTCCTGATGGGATTCCTTTGATTCAGTATCCTTCACACGTAAAAACATTTAATATGGAATTTGACTATCTAATTATCTATTCAACTATACCAGGTATTATACTTTTATCTGTAGATAAATATTAGATTGCTACAAAAATCTTATTATATCTTTTCGTCACTTTACTTTCTCTCTATCAAATAGTTTGTAAACATTTCCAATTTGAAACTTCTAATATAATTGCTAATTAATTATTCATTAGTTTATGACATCTCGTGATTCATGAGTTTCAAAATTAACAGGTCGTTATTCTTAAAGCGTTTTACATGGAACATGTTTCATGGAACAGTTGTGCGTCCAATTACGTGAAAATGGTACTCGTTATGATTTGATAACTTTATTGACATTCATATGGCAGTGTGTTGCCAAAGATTTTGAGTTAGTCAAATTTAATGATTTGACCGTGCACCAAAGACAACAACTTCCACGCATGATTTCAACGTTGACACACTTGATAAAATTCATTCCAATATTTTTACAACCACAATCTGATAAGAAAAATCTTATACCGAATTTATGAAAGTAACTAGATAATTACTAATATTTTCTGTAATGCAGCATAATCTTTTTACAAAAGTGATAGACATTTTGATATGCGAGTTTTTGTACGACGTAAGCGAAATATTGTAAACATTATAAACAAAACATACTTTTATAATTTTAGTTTAACGAAACACAAATGTGTAAAGTAATATATGTAGTAAATGTATAGATACGTATTTGTGAACATTGTACGTACTTATATAATATGAGTAAAACATTGGAAATATTATGAAAAAATATATCTTTTATAATTTTTTTGTGGAAATGTGTAATATATATATATGTATGTGTATTACACATTTCCAGAAAAAAATTATAAAAATATATTTTTTTTGGTAATATATAAAGGATATTTATGTTTATGTTATTTATATATATATATATATGCATATATGTGTACAATATATGTGTGTGTGTGTGTGTGTGTGTGTGTGTGTGTGTGTACTTAAAAATTAACATAAATATTCTTTGTATATTTCAAGAGAATTATTTTTATTTTTAATATATTTTTAAAATATTTAATAAATATTAAGTATACAAATTTTTAATGTTTTCTCATATATTATAAAAAAATCATTTATCGCGATCTTTTATAATATACACTTACAATATCTACATTTTGTATGCTTTATATATGCTTTATTTTTATTTTATATTTATTATTACTGTTTTGTATATCATTGAGATCATGACTTAAATTAATTCCAATTCCTAATTAAATAAATTTGTAATTACTTATTAAAGCATTTTTGTTTTATTCTGTATTCATATGTTTAAAGTAAGGGCTGCGACTATGATACACTTATAAACTATATAAATACAGTATTATAGTATATAATATTTGGTGTAAATAGTGTGCTTGACATAAATAATTATCAATAAAATATCGGATATTCTTGAATTATATGTTACTTAATTATAACACATTGAACGAATTAAGATTAAGAAATGCATTGTGTGGTTAGCATTGTATAATATATATGTACTTGGAAATATACAAAACCATGTCTTTAAATGTATTATTTAGATGTTCGAACTACTTTAACCGGTATAAATTACATGAAAATTTTTATAAAAACTTATAGATTTAAATAGCTGATATAAAACTTTATAACTTATATAAATTTAAAAATTATTGAAAAATGTTTTCCAAAAATCTGCAGTACTTTTTCAAGATAAATATAAAATTATATCAATATATAAAAGTATAGTAAAGTGATGATCAATTTATAATAAAATTAATATTAGAGATGCAAATAAATATTAATATTACAAACTTCGAAATTATAGAAATCTTGAAATAATAAATGTATTAATTTATAAATCTATATAATATAAAATTAATATATTAGGTAAATAAATTTTAATAATATTACAAACATCAAAATTATAAAAATCCTGAAATAATAAATCTAAGAACATATCAAAATCACAAATTATATCTAAAATTTTATAAAAATTAGCGTGGTATTATTAATAATTGATATATTTATCGATCAAATATCAAACACATTGTAGAAGTGAAGTTTGATTAATTTAGACTTGTTTAAAATTTAGGCGCAAAACAGTCGACCAATCACAGCTGAACGCGGGCTTATGTATTACGGCGTGACGCTCGGCCAATCACAGCGCGAGTTCGTAATCACGAGATGTTCAAACGCAAAATATCTCAATTGCGCGCCGAAACAGGTCGTGTTGGGTCTCCGGTCGTGTCAGTGCTCCGGGTTTCGGGAGTATTTCGGAAGTGTTTCGCGAGCCTGCTTGCATCAGACGGTATTATTTGGGGTACATATCGAAAGGGAATAATCGAACGTGAAAATTAAGGCCCGAACGACGATAGTACGACCGATTCGTGCTCGTATACCAAATGCATCGGATGCATTTGCCGGTCGCGAGTGCGGGAGTGCCGTATTAATAAATTATTTGTGCTTTTCCGGTCGGCTAAAAGTGGAATGAAGACTACTGTGTGTGTGAATGAAGAAAATAGCATTGTGAGTGTTTCTAGTGCTCAAGGTCATTATTGGATTACTGGAAGAAAGAAGAAAACTGCCCCCTTTCTCCCCCTCTGTCTCCAGAATTTCATCACCAGTGAGTGCATTGGTTTAATCATATTCGTGTTAACAATTGTTTAATTGTTTCATGCGCTCCCGATGATTATTTAATCATGCTATCCATTTCGCGATACGGGAAACATCTAGCTTCATATTTCGGTGATAGGTGAAGTACATCAAGTAATGGCGAACAAAATGGCGAAGTTTGGGAGAAAGAAGCAAAGTTTTAAGGAAATGGCGAAGAATAGGTTGAAAATTACAGTCGGTAATTATGTTTCCTCCGCGAGTTATCATGTGAAGTTACCCTGCGAGTTTCGTTACTCCGTATAACGTTTGACAGATGTCACTGACATGCAGTTTTCAACCTCGCGACTCGTGCATAATTCCGGCGCATTTCGACGAAGTATGAATATATGAAATTATTTGCTTCGATAAAATCAATGATTTAAATATATGAAAATATTCAAAAGTCATATCGAAATATTTGCAAAGTTAAATACAAATATCTTTCCAAAAATATCAAAATATCACATTTTATAATAAAAAAATGACGCGATACACTCTCTCTTTTTAGTTATTAACAAAATGGCAAAGTATAGGGCGAATCATAGGTAATTAATTCCGCGAGTTTTCACTAAAGTTATCCTATGAAGTAATTTATCCCGCGTATTATTTCCGTGAAGATACCCTGAAGTAATTTATTCTGCGAGTTATCGTATACTTTAATAGCATTTGACGTTTGACAGATGTCGCTGACATGCAGTCTGCAGCTTCGACTGCGACTTATATGCACGATTTTCGCGACGCATTATCAAAACTATAATTGAAATTAATATTATATGAATTTTATTGAAATTAAATACAAGCCAGAAACATTTGATATTTTTTTGGAGACATTAAAATTAATGTATCACTAAAAAAAATATATATATAATAAAAATAAAAACACATCAATAAAATAAAAAATATAAAAATATATGAGGTATTGAAATTAATATAATTATATGATTATTATATAGTTTTATATTGAAATTGATGTATCACTATATAAAAATATATATATATTTTTTTTATTGACTTCTTATCTATACTCTAAAATAATATAAAAATTTTAAACTGCTCTGTATAAATATTGAGAAATTACTATATCTTCAATCTACGGTGCATCCAAGTAATTCGATATTAGGTCAACACTAGTTCAATCTATCAGTTAGGAACTGATTACATATTAGTTCCATCAAATTAACGGGAAATATTTCCTCTTCTCTACCATTTCTCACGTGACCTTTCATGTTTCTCGTGACGTCGCATGAATATGTAATCTATAAACTGGTAAAAGATATTTTATCTTATTTACTTTTCACATATTTACGACGTTAATAATTAGAAATACGATAAGAATTAAAGGTCTCGTCCCATTTCTTATTGCTAGTAAAATATTTATCAGTTTTCCTTTTGAGAGGAAAGGCATCAGAATTATGTGATAGTTTGTTGCGTGAAGACTTATTCTTATCTATTTTTATCTTTTATCGAAGAGATAAAGTATCTTGTTAGCCTTTGTCTAGATTTAAACGGATCTTGCTTAATATGATAAAATCGATGCTTTAAAATATACAAAAAATTCACAAGTTCACATTCTTATCGAAATATTTAACGCGCAAAGTTAAATACAAATATATTTTTGAAGAAACATCAAACCGTTACAATTTTTCAAAATATTTGAATACCAATTTAATCAATAAATTTTAATTAATAAATAAAGCAATAAAATTTATAATAAAAAAAACGCGATACTCTGTCATGCATATAATAGAAAAGCATATAATGATCTCATAACGATTTCTAAAAATTTTTTTACAAAAGTACAACTTTTATTTCTATATTAACACATTATTCTAAAAAGAAGAAAAAATTGACAGGAAATAAAAACGCTACAATTTCTCGAAATATTTAAATATTGATTTAATCAATAAAATAAAATTTATAATAAAAAAATAACGATACTCTGTCATGCATATAATAGAAAAGCAACGATTTCTAAGAATTTTTTTTTTACAAAAGTACAACTTTTATTTCTATGCTAACACATTCTAAAAAAAAGAAAAAAAATTGACAGAAAAATTTTGTTTAACTTTTATTTCTATGCTAACACATTATTCTAAAAAAGAAAGAAAAATTTTCATTCGCAAATCTCACATCGCGAGTATACAATATCGTTCCGACAGGCCACTTAAGAAACCGATATCGAGCCCCGCGCGATACGCAGCGAGTGACGTCATTGTCGGAAACGTCTCGATGATGACGTTATCGTTGGACGCGTAATCTCGGACGATTGCGCGCGTGCGACGATGACGCAATATCGGAAAAATCGCTTAACCTACCTGGAGAAAACTCGCGTGGGCGTCGCTCGCGCCACGTGCTCGCTCCGTAATTCGTGACGTCATGAGGTAAAATCATGGTCACCATGGCGACTCTCGCGCGCCTCTCGTCCCTTCGGATCTCGCCCACGAGATTTAAACTTCCGCTGCCGGTGCGAACGTCACGCCCTGTTTGACGGGTAAAGGTGGGTAGGTAGGTGTGTTGCGGTAGGTCCGGGATAAAAGTCCGAAAATAGCAACAGGTATATATACATTACGAAAACGAAAAACACAGTTAATGCGCAAGACGCATCTTTAATTTAAAAAAAAAATATATGACATCCGCCGGATAATATTGATTTACGACTCGAATAGGGTCTCGAAGAGAGACATGATATTTATATTTCAGGCAACATTCAGCGCTCTATAATTTTCAATATATATAATATGCTTTAGAATTTATGCATTTTTTTAATTACAGATTTTTATCAGTTAATATACAAATTAATTTTGCAAAATAAAAATGTCACAAATACATTGAAGAAAAAAGTTGTTAAATTAACACATATTTAGTTCAATACGTTCAAATGAATCATTTATTTGAAACAAATGAATATTTATTTGATAAGTATAAAAAATACTTTATATTTATTTGCTTCAAATAAATGATTCATTTGAACGTATTGAACTAAATATTTGTTAATTTAACAAATTTTTTTTTCAGTGTGCAATATACAAAATTAATTATTTTATATAAGAAGAACGTTAATTTAATTAGTAATCATTTAATCGCTAATGATATTTAG